TAAACAAAGAACCCAACAATTTTTTTTTTGTTGTTTTCTTCTCTGCAGATCTCCTCCCTTATTTTTTTCTGTTGTTGTTTATTCCCCTCTTTGTCAGTTATTTATCAAATGGCCAAACGTTTGGTTTTTGATCTTTGACCCCTTTGGCACTACTTTGGCAGTACTGACCCACTTTCAAAATGTTTACAGTTATTGTTTTGGGCTATCTGCAGCAGGCACATTGGTCTATACATTTTTTGGTCCTGAAAAACAACAAAACAACGGCCAAACGTATTGCAGCCAAATCTGGGAAGACAGTAACTGTTAGAGACTAGTCTAATCACCTCAGCAGCAGCTCCAACAGTCCCCATCTCTCTCTCTCTGTAGCTCTCTATAGCTCTCTCTCTCTCTCACTCTCTCTCTTTCTCTCTCGATGTGTTCACCTCTCTTACCCTCTTATCTCTCCACCCTCAGTCTCTCTTTCCTCATGGGGTCTATCTGCTCAATCTGTGTGTTCTGGTTGTTTGTGAGTATGTGCATGTATGTGCGTTTTGTGATTGTGAAGCAATGAGTGCACGTGGGTCATATTGTGTACTGTCCGTGTGTTATGGTCCTCACGTGGCTGCAGACAAACTTGGACGTTTTGGGCAGGGGTCCTGCCCCTTTACCTCTATCTGCAAACGGACAACAGAAACCAGCAAAAACTGTGGAAAACCCTTTTGTTCTCACTCTGGATGGACCCCAGATAAACAACACGCACACTTCCACATATATACACACAACTTACATCTTACAGCAGCATTCATCATTATTGTTGTACTACAGTGGACTTTCCATACCCGGGGATTAAAACTGTGATGTATGTTATATTATAGGGGAAGAAATAGTTTGTTTGAATGATCTACTACTGAATAGTGTATAAATGTGTCACTTATAAGACTGAACAGGCCTGACTTTGTGGTGTTTGGTCACATATAGGTTACACCATCCCATCTGTGTGTCTGACTGCGGGCACTGAGGGCAGGCTTGTCCCATATGTTTCATTTATAACACTTTTTTCACAGCAAGCACTTATTTGAATGAACCTTGCAATCAAGATTAAATTCATATTGTATTTACTACATGCTGTATATGACTAATTGCCCATGCTCTTAACTTTTAAAACTTTGAGTTGTTTTCATGTTGATCAACGTTCACCTTAAAAAAATAGTTTGACATTTTGGGAAATGCACTTATTTGGTTTCTTGCCAAGAGTTAGGTGAGGAGATTGATAACACAACATGTGTTCGTTAAGCCTAGAGCTAATGCTGGGGGTCAATAAAAAAAAAATCTCTCTTGAAATCCCTAAAATCCCTCTAAAACTCATTAGTTAACATGTTTGATTTGTACAAAACTGTAAAAATGACAATATGTGGTTGTAAGTAATGCGCCCACCTGTTGTTCCTTAGGTAGCAACATTATTCTGACAAATGCTTGGGCCACATATTGTGTTTCTTTTATACACCTAGTTCCTCGACCCAAGTCTGGCCCACATACAGCATGGACTTCCACATCTGGACCGATTCTGATGCACAGAAAAATCTTCCTGGCTGTGAGACAAAATTGGAGGATAACAGTCAGTATCAGCCCAGATGTGGAAGGTTATGGTTCCAGACTCGGGGCAAAGGCCCAAGTGTATGTTAGGCCAGAAGCTTCATTTTGCTACCATGTACCTCTTACAAATTAATCAAATGAGATATGATGTGTTAATTAATGAGCTGTAGAGGTGATACCAGTCAATTTTTTGTAACTTTGGATAGAAGCAGGCTAGCTCTTTCTTCCTGCTTGAAATCTTCCTGCTAAGCTAAGCTAGCTACCACCCAGCTCTAGCTCCATACTTCACGCAGACACGAGAATGGTTTCAATCTCATCTGATTCTCGGCAAAAAAAGTGAATAGTTGTATTTCCCAAAGTGTCCCAAAATAATCCTTTAAAAACAAAGTATTATTTGCAACATTAGTTTTTACACTAAAGCCCCTTTTTACACCTTAACCACGGTTAATATTTCTACTCTCAAACACAGAGCGTCGTGTCTGGTTCACTTTTGTTGGTGTGGAATAAGATACAGAAAGAAACCAGACGACTCTCTCTCCCTGTCTCTTCATCACTTGTCTTCTTCTTTTGCCCCCAGCTCCTCTCCTCATGGATGGGTAGGGTAGTTATCAGGCCCGGACAGCCCAGCCCAGCCCTCCTACCTGACCGCTGCCAGCAGGGAGCGGCTGCTCTTGCCTGAGTATCTCCAGACCACAACAGCACCCAGGGAATGAGGAAATCGGGCGAGAGTAATCTATGAAGGCCCAGGGCACGCTGGCCACCATGTGAGTGCACGGAGTGTGTGTGTTTTGTGAGTATGCACGCGCGTTTTCAGCAGCCCGCCACTTCTGCAACATCCGGCTATAAATCTATTGTGACATGTCAAACTGAATTTATGAGCCAATCTGCTTGCGACAGACATGTTTGATTTGAAAAGGGAAAGGAGGATGGAATAAAAAATGCAGTAGTGAGAGTGACATTTAGAGCTGGGTATTTCACTAAAAATCTACTATTATTATTTGAAAACAATTATAAGAAATCTCTTTTACAAATGTTTACCCTTTAGATTGTGCAGTTTGGGTCAAAATGGAATCCAATTAAGTCTGAATGTGAAAATAAAATCTGAAGCGCTTGTTTGCATACAAAGTTGTTTACCAGTCACCCTTCATCCAGGTCTTTCTTGACTTATCTTACTACACAGCAACGTCTTTATATCCTTGTTGCCATGGCACCCTGGACCAAAAGCAAAACTGGAGTCCAAGTGGAGGAGGATGCAACTGGAAACATCTCACCATCTGTAAAGGGAACGCTATGGAGCCCATATTTGGATCTTTCTCAGTGACATCTAATATTACAATTCATCATTTTTTCTGTTAAAGCGAATATAAATAGGAGGCATTTAAACTTGGTTATAGTGGCTACATGATTTTATAAAACACAACAGTCCTGCTGTACCTGTTTAACTTTAGCACAGCTAAAGCAGCAGTTTTAGCCTTTTACTTTACAGTACTATGAATCCTTAGTTGTCCTATGCTATTTTACATGAACTTTAATGGAAATAAAATATGTTTGCCACTTGGAGACAATAAGTCTCTTTTGAACGAAAATGAACCGAGCATGAAAAACACTGATGATATCCAGTATCTGCGTGAATACACTGTAAGCCAGTGTATTGATGATATTGTGCAGTATCACACTCTCCTGTTGCCTCTCTTCAATGATTGCCGCGCTGCACTGTTAATGATAACATAATCACATTCCTCATATATTCAATTTGTCACTTGATAACAATGAGCAAACACTGGAGTCAGTGATGCCTTTTTCTACAGCCATGTGTCGAATGGTCAGCGGTGTCAAGATCTATGATGACCAACTGTTTTCTCCCTAATAGTCTAAGTTTGAATCCTAAAATGCCCTGACATTGATCCATCCTTTTTATCACTACAGGATGTTAATGTCTTACAATATTCATCCGTCTATATTGTTTTTGCCAATAAACCACCACCCGTCCACACACTCTCACTCACACACAGGCAGCTGCCTTCTCACTCAGTGGAAGCAGGTGTCTGTGAATCTCGTGGGGTTTGGGGTTTTGAGTCTTTCTTTTCTTTTTTCTTTTTTTCTTTTGGGTGTTGTAGAAGATGGTGAAATTCCCAATGTGAAAGTCTGCTTCTTGCTCTGGCCTCTTTCCACAAGACAACCACACACACACACACACACACACACACACACAAACACACACAGACATGCACGCATGCACGCATACACACACACACACACAAACAACCACACACACACACAACCACACACACTACAGTTACTGACAGGGAATTTCACTCATTCACACTCATCTCTTTGCCGTCTGTTTACACCATTATTGTTACTATAGCTAAAACCAAAACTTCAGATATATGAATATGATTATATGCTGTATGTGTCACTTAAAGGTGCAGCAGGCAGACACACACCCCTGAGGAAACTATTTCTGTTTGGCCTCACCTCAGATGTCACAGTTCCTGATAGCTGTGTCGCTGTGTCTGTCGTGATGAATGTCATTTCTGTTTATGTGTCCCTCTGAGACCCATACTTGAGATGGGAATCTATGTTTGAGGGCACTGTGGTGGATCAATGTGAGGTGGGGGTGCAGGTTGCAGGAGGGAGGGGGTTGTAAATATAGCTCCTGGTCTGAGTCTGGGCCCCTTAGCTTTCATGGTCTCACAGGAAAACAAGTCTCCTCAAGAGACTGAATGTGGAGCTCATACATGTGTGCATGTGTTTGTGGAGAACAATGAGGAGCAAGTGTTTTATACAGTAACTGTGCACTACTCACTTTCACTTGTGCTCACAGTCTGAATTAAGACTCAAGCTCTGCGTAAAGGAGTTGAACGTTGAACGGAGTTGTTCCTTCACCAGGATATTTCAGGAACATGTAGTCCCCCTTATCCACTGAAAAAAAAGAGAACGGTTGGGGACATTTGCTTATTACCTTCACTGGCTGATAAAGTTATGCACACTTAGTAATTGGCAGATGGAGGGAAAGTTTTATGATATGCTCTGCACAATACACACAAACCTTTGTATCTGCAGGTTGGGGGGGGGGGGGGGGTATCTTGGAATACTACAGTCGTCTCAAAAATTTGAATACTACAGATAGGTTACACTTCTGCCAACACCAGAGAGCAAACAGTTCATTCACTTCAAATAGAAGAATTGCTCCAGACAATAGTGTGGCTTCACAGTGCTATTTACACTTGTAACCACTACAGGTTATTTGGACTGAAGTTATGACTAATAAAAGCATATTTACATCTTAAATATATGGAAATGTTGTTTATTGCCTTAAAAGGGAACAACTTTTGAATTTCTATTGCACCGTCTACTCAAGATATTGTTATATTCTTTAAGATATTGTTAAAATAATAATCCCAAAATGACACTGAACACAAGGCTGTAATAAAACAACACACTTTATTTTCTAGGCAGTATAGAAAAGTATAAAAAAAAACATCAAAACTTGGCATGTATAAATGCTTTTATAAAATCATTTAAAAGCTAGTATAAAAACAAGGCATTAAAATGTATAAAAAAAAAAAGATTGTCTGCTAAGTGTTTGACATGGGCTACTGCAGTTTTAGTATAACAACAAAATGATTGAAGATGCATTATAAAACAATACAAACTATTCAAAGAAATGTTAAGAAACAACAACCATACAAAAGTTTCAACTGGGCTTTTGTTTGTAGCATAATATAAAATATCAGTGTTTAGCACTCTCGCTTTTTTATGGAGAATATAAAATTCAAGTGCAGGTTGGTCTCACGCTTACTGGGTGAAAGCTCATGGTTTCAAACATACAAGGTTATTCAAGGTTTTTAATTGTATAATTATATTATATATGTGTATGTGTATGTGTGTGTATCTATATACTTAGATTTTAACAAATATAATTGTTTGTTCATGGAATGTTTCCTCGTACATGATACTTTGAAGGTCGGATATAAATTGAAAGTTGAAATGAAGGTGCCAATGTGGTGATCAGGTAATACTAAGAAGGCTGGCCCCTTCTGGTGTGAAAAACATTATAGGTCATAGTTGAATAATGATGTAAGAACAGACGTAGCTGTTCTTGTTTAGTAATTAGTAGTATTTAAGTGTTTATATGAGGTGGCACAGACCAAACACTTGAAATTCTCAGTAGACCCAATATATTCTATTAAAAAAAGCAACAGAAAAGTTTCAGAGGTCAGTTTTGAATTCATTAATATGCCTTTAGATATATGATAATGCTAATAGGGCTTAAATACTTAACTTACAACACTGCTCCATTGGCCAATTGTAAAAAAAAAAACAAAAAAAAAACATCAACAAAGTCATAATAAAAATAAAAGAAATAAATTAATCAACTTGTTCTTTATATTAATATCAAAATTCGTAATTAATAATACAGCCCAACGCAAATTATATAGCAACCATATCCCATTTATAATACAACACTGATAATAACACAAGACAAAAAGTAATAGGACGAACATTTATAAAAACCCGAAGCATATTCTATGTAAAAGATATAAAAAACAAAAAAGTTATAGTCTTTGGTTGGTTGAAATCCAACAAGTGTGAGTGTAAAAACACCAGTGGCATAGAGCCTCTCCCAACTGTTGTACCACAACAAATATGAAACCTGCCGCGCTGCGTCCAGCGCAGGAATGTCGATGTTTCCAGATCAACATGTGTCTCTGTCTACATGACCAGTGTCCTCGTAGGGTAAGTGTTGATGTACTTGTGGCTCTGCTCTGAGGCCAAAACGTGCTCCTCTGTTTTCCCACAGGTCGCCTGCTCCCAGGTACTGAGCTATTTTTTGAGAAAGATGAAAGAGGACGATGAGTTTTTATATTTAAAATGCAATAGCTGCAATTTCATAAATCTAAATCAATACATACACATATGCAAACATATACACACCTGTAGTGGGCTGCTCATGCCTCTGCGAGGGAGGTGGTAGACTTTGTGTCCGTCTTCACTCAATAATGAGCTGGTAAGTAGGTCCTGAATGAAAATGTAAAAAAACATGTTATACACAAGTCGAGCTGATGTACCCAACCAATATTACACTTCATCAGTACTCAAAGTACAATAGCAGAGGAAGCAGTGGGAGGCATGTATTCCATATATTTTAAGGGTAAGTGTTATTTTAGGTGAAGATTAAGGTTTGAGGATATTGTGAGTATGCAATGTGGTGTTAAAGGTCAAATGTAAACTTACCGGTACTTCTTGTGCAGGACCACTGGGAGAGAAGAGCTGTGCGTGAAGGTCTTGTGGTTCCCACTGCATGCACGGGCTCCTCTCACATGGGGACTCCACCTAAGACCCAAAACACATCATAGTCACGTAATGTACATAATTATCATGAGTCATGCAAAACTGGCTTCCTTGACTACAGCTACTTCCAGTTATTCCTAAAGTAGATCAACAATGTGTTGCAAAACTGAAAAAAACCCGAATCATTTACCCACATTTTCTACCACAACTGCAAACAGAAAGTACATTCCACTTTTCATTCTTGCCTTTGCTTTCTCCACAAATAAAAACTAAAACTTCTTATGTTAGTCTCACATTTGTCTGCATGGTTTTTGCATATGTGTAAGTGGTTATGTTTAGTGGAAAGTACCTCTTGTTTTATTTTCTTCAGTGGAGGCGGCTCAATGGCACACTCCATCGGCTCCTGCTTGATGGAGTTGACCATCTGCTGCTCCAAAGGGGTATTCTGGAAAAGACACAAATCCCCCAGTGAGTCTCAAGCGTACTATAACAAGAAAAACAGTGGTTAAAAAGATTATTTTTAGTGTCTTTCTTACCAGTAGTTTGAGGGGTCCGTACTTGGCTTCCTGCAGGGCCAGAGCTGACCTAAAAGGTGTGGGTGTGTGTGGTGATGACTCCAGGATTGAACGACAAATGTTTGGAGTTCTGAACCTGAGAGAAGAGAGAAACCGCTGTTCGTAAAGCGTCACCAACAGCAAATCTGCATAATAAAATAGATTGGAGACAGAGCCACTCACATTTCATTCTCTTTCAGAGGCCTGACAGAGTGGTCGATCAGAGGCTTGGAGTCCACAGGTGAGTTCATTGGTAAGCTGTCGCTGTCGGAGTGTTCTGGGCTCATTGACTGGTTGAGAAACTGTGAAACAAAAGGAGGGAAGCCAATCAATTAAAGAGGTTTGACAGGTTGAGTTTTAGGCAGTAACAATCTGGCAAATCACAGGAGCACACTCAGCTGAAACTACAGAGATGGAGAGGAAATGAGGATAGAGGACTAGGACTTCAAAAGGTGGAATAATTGAAGTAAAATAAAAAAAAAAGATGGAAAACAACAGCAGAAACACTAATTCTGGATGATTGTTTTTTGATGTCATCAGATGGCAGTTTGGTGATTGGATGGATTCTGATCACATGCAGCTGCTTTAACTACCTGCGAGGGTGAAAAGGGTAGATTTCTGACTGGTGATTTCTTGGGAGTTGAGCAGATGAAACCAGCCCATGCTCCGTGAGCATTTCTTGAGCCCTGATTGGGCAAGACCCTGTCTGTTTTGAGAATGCTCTTATCCAAGAACCCACTGGTAGGGGCCTCACCCACTGAGGAGAGGCTCTGGGAAAAGGGTGGGAAAAAAGGGGTCAAGGCCCACTACTGTGATCTATGTTGCTAATTGCTAAGCTATCTTTTCCATCTGGACACAGTTGGCCATAGCACATAAAAATTAACAAAAAAAAAAAAAAAAAAGTCTTAATACACATTGCAGATACTTACTGAATCAATGACGGATTCCATGAACTCTGGAATAGTATTTGAGAACGTTGGGCTACTGTGATGACTGTTGCTGTTGTTGTTGTTATTATTGTTGCTGCTGTTGTTGCTGTGGGCACGTGTTGCAGAGGCGCTCTCCTCTGGCAGGCAGCTCTGGTCGAGAGGCAGGGCAGGGGCGGCTGCCAGGTGATGAGGTAACGACATAGCCACACCCTCTGAGCTGTTGGACAAAGAGCTCTGGCTGACCCAGCTCGGATAGGGCAAACTCATCTGGGGGGAGAAAAGAACGTAAAGATTAAGGGGCTAGAAATAAGTGTCAAGCAATAATTATCTGAAAATATAAGAGTGTAAAAAGTGTCAAACAAGCACAAGAGAGAAAATGCAAGCCTGACAATAAGGGAAGAGATGTACAAATTGAACGAATGAGAAAAAGAGAAGGAGAAAGGGAACTTTAATGTAAAGGGCGACAGATGTGTTAAGTAGAGGGTTGCACAAGGGGTCATGCACACAAAAATGGTTATAAGGTCCTGTTTCATCACTTTTGCAGAAACAGACCCCCCAGATGTTTCCTCCTCCTTATTCACAAAAACACACAGACCCAACCACTGTCCTTAAAGCCAGGGTCAAATGCACATGCACATAAATTGAGCTGTCACACTTTCAAATTTCAACGCTCACCCACACCCAAACTTGCACACATACACACACAGACACACAGACACACACACACACACACAAATGACTCACTGGTAGTGATGGCTGGCCTCTCAGCTCATTTTCTGTTGACATGAGCAGCAGTTCGATCTCTTTCACCCTCTGCTCCTTCTCGGGGTCCTCCTCATTATAGTGTCTCTGAGAGAACAAGAGCAGAAGGCAGGTGATTTTAGTGAAATCTCCTGTTGCCTCACTATGGTGATAAATCATATTGCGTTTCCTTGCTTTTTTTTTTACCTGTATAGCAGCGGTTCCATGCTGGGGAATGTTCAGGATGTTCAAATGCAAGGCCATGGGGAAGGGCACCTGTTAACCCAATGAGAAACATGTCTACATCAAATGAATGAATCTCCCGGAGGTACACAGTCACAATCAGGACCATCGAGTTTCTGCTGCCCACATCCCAAGTTTTAGTTTAAAGCCCACTCACTCTGTGCGTGTTGGAGATGTAAGTGTAGCTTGGCGACAAGTGAGGCAGCTGCGCTTGATTGGGCGAGTGGTTGGGGAAACCCATGATGTGATTGGTGGTCTTGACGTAGCCATGGCCGATGGAGAGTGAGGAATTGCTGTTCTTTGACGTGTTCTGCAGGTAGCCCTCTTGTTCCACCTTTCGCCTCATGGTGGAGTTCCAGTGGTTCTTTATAGCGTTGTCAGTCCTGCATGTCATGAATGACACTTATTAGCTTACAGGTTATTTATTATAAAACACATCCGCACACCCACAACTATGCAAATGTGAAGACTTCTACTGAACCTCTATTGGTACTTGATAGTGTTATCAATACAGGCAAACACACAGACCAACACAGATAAAGTCTCAGTCAAACACACACACACACACACACACACACACACACACACACACACACACACACACACACACACTCAAAATTGATAAGGTTCTCAGTACAGAGCAATTACAATCATGTCCATACTACAGTATCTTTTTTCTCTCATTCTCTTTGTCTCTGTCATTTCATTGTAGGCCTTTCTCTAAAAAAAAAAAACAAAAAAACATCCTGTGCTGACACTGTATATTTCAACTTTTTTTCCCATCCCAATTATTCTGTAATCCTATCCTATGTAATCCTAGGGAAATGTATTCACCCATCCATCTTCTTTAATGTTCTGTGTGCTTCTTCTCTTTTCATTCCTCCTTCAGTGCCCCCTCCATTTCATCCTCTCAACCACAACATTGCGCAGCCAACCAACAAGGGTTCAGTGATTCATCTAGCTTCTCTCTTTTTTTCCACCTTTCTCTTTTCTTCAATCTCTGCCTCACCTGCCAGGGAGCAGCTTCGCGATTTCGGCCCAGCGATTGCCCAGCTTCTCGTGTGCCTGGTAGATAATTCGGTCCTCCTCCTCAGTCCACGATGTCTTCTTTACCTCTGGGTTCAGGTGGTTGTGCCAGCGCTCGCGGCACTGCTTGCCAATTCGCCCCTTCAGGTGCTTGGCAATCACCGACCAGCGCTTGGCTCCATACTTCTGGACCAGCTCAATCACCTGGGGTGGACATGTTTGTGTGTGTGCGGGAGTGAAAGAGGAAAGGCAAGAGGGGGGAAGGAAGAGCGTTGAAAGGGAAGAGAAGTGAATGGTAGTGGAGGGGGATGAGGAAAGAGGAAGGAAGGCGCAATAACAGGGAGGAGAGGGAGAAGTAGAGGGGTACAGAGAAAGAAAAATAACAAAGTAAAGAAGTAAAAAGTATAGGGGGGTAAAATAGATAGCATATGACAAAATAAGAGAGAAAAAGAAAATAAAATCTTGTTAGTTATCCATAAAAATCTCAGACACTGTTACACTGTATCACTGAACCCTTCCCCTCTCCTTCTTTCCTCTCCTCCCTCCTTCCCTCTTTCTTTATCTTTCAACTTTGAAGAGGTGATTGAGAACACCTGCTGGTGAGCACTGAGGGAGTTTCCAGTGGAACGTTAGCCCCTCTGCTAATCATTACAGTGGCATCTGGGTGGAAATATAACTCCTTTGGACGAGTTCAATAAACACTTCACAGGTTGTAAGAGACTAAACACGTTTCTTGTTGAGTAATGGCAACTTTTTAGGAAACTAAAAATGTGCAACAGCAGCGTAGCAGTTGCTACAGAATAGTTGCTTTAATCACACAATCAGGAACATAAAGTAATAGTTTTTTTTTTCACCCTGAATGACACTTGATTGCCTGTTTCCTGTGAGTAGTATCCACCTAATGTAACAAACCCCTCTAGTGTTAAAGGTCACCACTGACTGCTCTCTGCAGAGAAGCATCTTCATGTAGATATTATAATGCTATAAAGAATTTAATCAAGATTTCTGCCACAGTAGGATATTCACTGTTTCATGTGTAACCCACAAAGTACTGTGGGTTTCTAAAAGAGTATTTTCTTACCCTCTGGTCCTCCTCTTTAGTCCAGGGCCCTTTGATGAGTTCTGGATTCAGCACCTTCTGCCATCTGTGCTGACACTGCACATCTGTACGATTCTGGTGGGTCAGAGAGCAAGGGCATTAGTTATCATCCTCATACTATGGGAGATTACATCCATATAAATCAGTAGATCTAAGTTAGTAGTAGTAAAAAAAACGTTGCACTCATCAAGAAATTAAACAAAAATCTCTTGAATTGTCATCACTTTGCCACAAGCGTGCATTGCTAGATATTGTTATGCTTATTTCTCTGTCTCTGTGTGCCTGTGTGTCATTGTGTATACAGTATGTACATGCATGTGTGTACCCACAGACCTACTACTTACAGTTAATAAGCTTGCAATGAGTTTCCAGTCTTCTGATCCATGAAGTTCAACAAGTTTCTTCAACTTCTCATCCTGAAAAAAAGAGAATTCGTGTTGCACTTAGTCACAGCAATTAACATCATCCACAGCCCTTTAAAATGAGCACATTAGTCTGTGAATGTGGTAAGACCAGACTATAAAAAAATTTTTCCCAGGTTCCTGGGAAATTATCTCTCTTGAGGCAATTTCTTCAATTTCTATCTAACATGTGAAGTGTGAAATATTTCGTAATTAACAGCAAATTTTGTATTGTTTGGGCAGGTGTCTGTGTTTCTACCTCTTCTCGTGTCCAGCGTGTTTTGCCGAGGTGGCGTTTCCCTGTTTTGGCCAGTGATCCATCATAATCGTGTTCATACATCTCGGTCTCCTCCTCATCCTCCTCACTACTGTAAACACTGCAGAGAGAGAGAGAGAGAGAGAAAGAGAGAGCATTTTAAAAAAAGAGGTGGTGGCTGTGTGAAAAAGAATAGTGTAAGGTAATAGAAAAGTAAATAATAGCACAATAAGTGCTTGTCTATTTTCAAACTGCTCCCTAATCATCTCTTTACAGAGTGCATAAAGAACTCAGCCCACTCTTTAACTCATCAGGTGTCAACACAGACAGAACCAGTCATTCTTGAAGGTCTGGGTGCAGGCTTTTAGCCAAGACACCCACAAGAGGAGAGAGAGAGAGAGAGAGAGAGAGAGCGAGAGAGAGAGCAGTAGGAGGGAGGGGGTATGGATGAACAGGTTCCAATGTTTTTAGTTTCCACAGATACTGGGATTGGCACATGCGATCATAATTTCATGACTGGCGTGTTCAGACCTGTAGTGGCATTGTGGAGCACAGCCATGCATGCACACACACAGACAGGTTATTTTTGAGAGAGAGAGAGAGAGAGAGAGAGCGAGAGAGAGAGCAGTAGGAGGGAGGGGGTATGGATGAACAGGTTCCAATGTTTTTAGTTTCCACAGATACTGGGATTGGCACATGCGATCATAATTTCATGACTGGCGTGTTCAGACCTGTAGTGGCATTGTGGAGCACAGCCATGCATGCACACACACAGACAGGTTATTTTTTAACCAATCAGAATGTAGACCATGGAAAATGTGGAAGCTAGGTAGGGTACTCTGGCGTCATACAGTGCAACAGGTGAACAGGAACCTGTGAACACAGGTGTGTGTGTGCTTGTACAAGAGGATATTTACTGTGGACAATCTTCCTTATTTTTTGTCAGATTACTCAGATGTGTGACTACCTGATTAACAGCAATGGCCATAGGGAAAATCAGACAAAAAAACTGTGATATTAGACACATTTTAGGTTTAAAAAACTTGAAATAATAATTTAGGTAAGAATTTCCCATTTTAACCAGCAAACAACCCTAATGTATTTCAGAACAAAATAAAAAGTATTTATCAATAAGAAACAGTCAATATTGTGTGCACACACAAGCAAACAAAGGACGATGACTCATATTAATAGTGATGAATCAACTGAAAAGTGCACCGTGGAGGAGTTTAATGTTGACCACTGCTCTTGTTTCAATCAGTCGGGTGGTTTTGTGTCAACTTTCGTCACATTTTTCTCAGGTTATCTGCGTCAGACCATGAGAATAAACCAACAACCCGCACTTGACACGCATGCTTAATTTAAGTAGTCTAACCAGATGCTTTTCAGGGGAAGGATGTGGCGATCGATGCCCTTCAAGAAAGTGTAGTTGTAAAACGGTACGTTGGTGAGCGGGTAAAGATTCAATTTGAGGCGAATGGTGTATCAAAACAAGGGAAATACAAAAAAACGCAGCCTCGCCTCGGGGGAAAGTGCACATAGAGGACCCTATGAAAGCGCAGTTTCCAAAATAACAGTGGGCGCCCTTCGCTTTCTGAGATGCTGCGGCAGCATTCAGGGTGTATGCACATTTTATCAAGGCGGGTTTAAAAATCACCTTTATGCCAGATATATATATCCAATCTGAAAGTTGAACAAATTTGAATATGAAAACATCTGTCTGTGTGGCTGACTGGAGTGATGGTCACCAGGAAAACCAAAGTCTGATGAAATATAAATATTTTCAAAACCATCATAAACTAAATTTAGTATATGAAATTGCTTGTTGCAAAACACACTGAGTGCGTTTAAGCAGATATAAACAGGCGTCATGTTGCATTGTGTTTATTATAGGCTCCTATTAAAACCAATATCCACGCACAGTCTAGCGCACAGCGTGACACGCGCCTGTCCACCCGCCTAACGTTATTAATGCGCGCGCGCGTGTGTGAGAGGGGCAGTGACAGAGATAGAAAGAGGCTCCTTTCTCTCTCTCACCACTGACAGCAGCGCGAGGAGCGCACATGCCAGATGACCACCACCTGTCATGAGCGCGCGAGCGAGACACCCACACCACTACTCAGTTTCAACGGCCGAGAAAACAAAACGGTTCACAAACACAAAAAGAGCAGAAAAACACAAATATATCATGAAAAAAAACATAAATTCTGTCAGTAAGATGCACCCGTAACTCCTCAACCTCACGCCGTATCCAGTAGTAATGAGAAGAGAAACAAGATGAAAACAGCAATTGCATATAAGACGCACATGAAAAAAATAAGAAAGTTAGAAAGTTAAAGAGCTGTTTGAGCTTACCTGTTTCTCGGCCGCCGAGCCATGCTAAAGTGTGTAGAGCGGCTCGCAGGTTGCGCTGAGCACGTACTTTCGCTATCTGCACTGAGTTTGTTCTGCCGGCGAGCAGGAAGGTTGACATTAATTTAAACTACTGCTGCCACTACTGCTCCTCCCTCCCCTCGTATCCCGGTAAATTTGGCGCTCCTGAGCGCGTGCGGCCGATTGCGCATGCCCAACTCAGAGTCGGCCTATTTCAAGACAATACGACATTTTGCTATTAAGATTTGAACAAACACGGGAAAAGCCAGAGTCTTGGTTCATATCCAAGAAAGCGATAAAATCTTTCTTTGATATCTTTATTGTATTTCCAGAAAAAATATTAACTTATGCTCTTTTGTTGAGAGTGAACATGTACTATCCAGGTCTAATCGGGTTAAGACTTCTAAGCAAGAGCTACACCATAAAATTACAATTTACAAATACCATGATTAAAATGTGACAGAATAATATGCTACAAATAAAAAAAAAGTGTCAATTCAGAGTTTGTTGGATAATCTTAGTTGCTTCAAGGACAACAGTGTAGAGAGCTAGTGTGTGCAAATAGATTGTTCTAACAATTTACGAGGTGTTCTTGAAGGCACCAGGACACCACAGCTTAGACTTGTTAAACGCGCGTTTTGCCTGGTTGTCCGCGCTAAACACTTTTTGTCAACAATTTTCATGAGTTACTTCTCCTCTGCGGAAAAGGAGAAGGAAACCAATGCATCTGGACGAAGTAAACAATTGCGGAATGGGTTGTTGGCATGCGAGGAAAGCGATGCTGAAACGCTTTCTGTGCTCGGCTACCTGTTTGTAGAGTGCCTGCTGGTGTTACAGATACAGATGTTTCTCAGTGATAAAACACGCAAGACCATGTCTTATCGTTTGGCGATAAAATGAGCCTTTGTGCTCGTCTAGACAAAGAACGTTAAATGCAGAAATGCAGTGACACTTCTACTTTTTGTGTGGATTTATGACACATAACTCAAAGGGCAAGCTGAGATAATATGTGCAATAAATCCGAGTTGTTCCTCAAGTTTCATTTTGAGTTTCTTAAATGGCAGCTTGCTGATAATGTCTTTCAATTTATTCAGAATAAGACATAAAAATCAGGAACAAGATGAACCTGTTTTTTTTAGCAACCCTCTTTTACAGATTAGTAATAACATAATTAATAACATAATTCTCCTGTCTGAGTTGTATTGCATAACTTCTGCATATTGTATATTATGGCAACTGGCTACCATGTATTATGATTATTTTGTTTTGGTTGAGTTCTCCATCCTCCCTGTGCCTAGACTGTACTCACTGAACCATTCATTGCAGGGAGGAGCGGGGTTAATACTTTATTTGTATAAATGTGTCTTCTCATTGTATTAGTTCCTCCATACGCGACCGTATTGTCCTGGTCACTTGTAATTATCATCGCCCCAGACCAGCCTATTGTCCCAGGGCAGTCATCATAATCGTGGCCTTATAAAGGGTCACACACACACACACACACACACACACACACACACACACACATGGTCATGGAGTGCAAATTTCACTATTTGATGCAACAGCGTGGACAGAGTGCTCACTCAAGTGAAGCTCTTAGAAAGAATAATAGAGACTTCCAGGAGTGGGCATGGGTTAAAAGAAATACTTGAAAGATATTTTTTCTTTGTATTATTATTCACACTGAGGCTGCACATTTTGAAACATGAAAAAATGTTGCTGTTAACTTAAATGCCACTACATCCAACTGCAGGCCCTGTAAATATAATGTATTGCATGGTTGCCTGGTTGCAATCACCTGTAGGATTCAAATCCTATACACACCTGTGTACACAAGCATTGTTCCAGCCATTTTTGCTTGGAAGAGGTGGTCCTTCTAATCTTTTCAAATCAAACTTTAATTATATAGCAGCTAGATTGCAATACAAGATGACCAAAAAGAGAAAAAGGTAGGTCAGTGAAAGAGATATAGCACCAAAATTAATCACTAAAGTCAGTTTTAATTCGTGTTAACAACAGGATTAAAAGTATGTAGTGATAAAAATAAAGTAAAACAAATCATTCTTCATATATATACTGTATTTCTGTATGGGTCTTTGGCTGTTTTCTACACAAGCCCTATGTGTGTCTTTTCCCTCGAGGGTAATATTAAAAACTACATCTTGTTATCTGAAACCAAATTGAAGGAAGGGAGTCAGGGTATGCAAATATCCTTATACTAGGATGAGCAGGAAGCCTGAGACCCATTGACTCTTAGCTGAGGACATTTGCATGGGCGCGATTGGACAGGTTAAGGGCAGGTATTGTGATGGCTGCCCCCTTTGCAAAGCTTTGTGTGCACAGGTTGGTTCATTTGAATGATTTTTAATGATGGCCCCTGGGCTTGAGATATCATCCCACCAGGCTTTCAAATCCAGAGCTGGGAAGGCCAAATGTGTATTGTTAATTGTCTGTGTGTGTGTCTGTGTCAATGTGTATGTAAAGGCCTGCGTTTGGAAAAGGCTGATCCCACATCAAACAGGTAGTGAATGTGATCCTGTATGGTTATGTGGTCAAATAAAACCACATGTTGAGCAATGGCAAATATCTGGTATTGTGTAAAACATGTATTTGATTTCTGTATTTTTATTGTTCTACAGTACATTACTTTACAGAAAACCAGCAATCATTTTTCAGGATCTTGTTTTTATTATTATAAATAAATCCTTGACATGGAAATTGTAAATCAGATGTAAAATTAACTTGAACAAATAACTATTACTATTGATTTAGTTTCAGAATTTTGTCTTTTATTACTTTGAACTTCACAACATGCCACTTTAAGGACCTCACATGTGTTTCTTCATTGACTATAGTTGTTTGGACCACCTAAGACTGCCAAGAGTGCGGGTTTTACATTTTCTCCAGGGGTGAGTTCCTCTTCCCATGATGCCCTGTGCCTTTGGCAAATTATGTAAAGCATTACCTCATACCCATTGCCAACTTTTTTGGGATGGACTTCACCCCTCACCCACTTGTACAAAGGCTTTGTCTTCTACAATTACACCAGGATTAATGTGTTTTCAGATTTACATGCTGTTGTTGACAGATTTACAGTCCTTTGCCTTTCACTTGACTCCATAGATACGACTACCATCCAATTGCAAACAAGCATTTTGTGACATCCAGAACTGAATATTGTTCTGTTACAAAAAAAAGTATGGTGGATACAAACCATGAAGTTTATTAATCATTCAGTAATATAATTTATACATCATTTAAACAAAGCAGCCATCCACTGATCCGCCCATTCTTCTAGCAATCTGTCCATCCATCTGTTTAATCCATCTAATCAGTCCAACATTAATTCTCTCAGAAACCCTTCTTGCTCATCACTGATTCACTGATTGGGCTTTCCATGAACTCTGTGGCCACATCGGCAGCACAGATTTGACCAGAGAGTGCTTTAAAGACATTCAAAGGAAACAAATGTTCAGCTCCTGTGTAGAGGTGTGAAAAATTGCACCTCAGCCTCCGTGCAGCACACAGCAAGTATTTAATTCATCTCTAAATTTGACTGCACAAAGAAAGAAGAGAGACTTAACAAATGAAAACAACAATCAAAGCATAAAAAAGGGGGAAAAAAATATTTATTTTATGTGCTAAAGACTTGGTTTGAGTAAAGTTATTGTTGGGTTTTGCAGGTTTGTGTTTTTTTTAAATACATATGGTTATGTAGGTTATGTTATATAAGGTATTTGTTGAGACTGTTTCTACTTCTTACTTAGGCAATATGTTCCATTTCCATTACAGATCAGGTGCTGTTTGCTACCTTTGGTTTTAAAATGTCCTAGAAACATTTCAGTGATGGAAAGGAAGAGTTCCCTCTGTGTCACCTGTGTGACCCTGTAAAAAGAGCATGTTTGTGTGTGTTTATTTGTATGTGTGTGTTCCATGTGTGCATGTGCAGTTGTTTATTTTGACATGTAGATGTGCAACCAAGACTTCAAAACGCAGGAAGTGGAATTTTAGAGGGGAAACCTCCACCCACTTAGACACACATGCACGCGCAGACACATACACACACAGTCTTAACCAAAGGTAAAACTTTGGGCACAGTAAATAATAAACTCCTTGACTAAACATCCCCTCCTGATATGAATGTTCCAACTCCTGTTCTTACTAACCTCTGTCAGTCTGCTCTTTGTCAAACTGCCGGTTGCAATATGAGCCATTCATTGTGAAAAGTTCTTTACAATTACCTAAGCAGACGTCTTTCTTTATTTTGCTCTATTTTTAGGCTGGGGAGACACGCCAAACCTCATATTTCATTTCACCATGCAGATGTGCAAGTGTACTTCACCTGCATCACTGGTATCAGATTATTGTCTGACATTTTGATCTTCTTCTCTTTCACTGGCACATGGGCTACTATAGATGAGATCAGGACAACACAATGTATTAGAAACCACGATTGCATCCACCTGCACACATATTTGTGAGTATAAAGTGCATGTATTTGCAAAGACTTATTTGCAGAAAAACAAGTGCACATGCTTGCAAATGCACAAGCACACACATTGTATTTCTTTCCCCTTTGTGGTAGATAGGCTATAGGTTTCTAGTGGTACAAAGATAGTAGGAAAAAATGATGTCACTCATTGGGTGCGTGTGTTTGTGTGAGGTGTTGAGTGTGGGCTCAGATGGGCTAGGCTCTAACCATAGGGCATAACCTTTGACAAAAAGTGGCTTAGACATTCACACCCCTAGACTATAGGTGGGTTTGAAAGCTGGTATGTGTATTTCATGCACTGCTTATGACCTCATGACAATTATTTTCTCAAACGTGCTGAGAACAAAAAAAAGCTGTTCATCACTTTGCCACTGCTCTTCTGTGGTATTGTGCATCCTCTCTCACATTAACAACACATGTTCACTAATATGAATTTTAACTACAACAGAACAGTGTTTGTGTGTAAGCAGGCTATTTGCCATCATCATTATCATCTCAGCCTTCATCATCATCACGAGGCTCACTGGGTTTTCAAGAACAGGACTAATGACAGATTAAGGTATTAACCCTTTACTGTTCCTTCTGTTCACACAACTTTCTTCCTGATATGGCCCTGGTGATTAATGATTGAATTATACGGAATATTATCGTTACCTTTTTATTTCCCTCCTAGTCATTCCGATAAACTGTGCATGTGTCTATTAGTGCTGATAATTATCAGGCATGCAAACGCCACCAAGGAGTCACTTTCTCTCTGTTGCAGACAGCGTGCAAAATGTGCTGCTTGTTTGGGAGATCTGATCCCAGGCCGCGTTGGTGGAACTGCAACAGGAAGTTACGTCAATGAAAAAAACCCAAAAACTTGCCTTGAAAGCAACTTTTTAAATTTTATTTTAATGACTAGACTTTTGGCCATCAAGCCAAAGACACAAATGTCACAAAATTTAAGAGTTAAAAAATACCTCTGATTTAATGTATCTGAGGCTGCAGAATTAAATCTGTCCTGCCTGCTGCCGTAACTTCACGCAGCAGCAGAAGCAGCAGCAGCAGTAGCAGTAGCAGTAATGGCAGCCGGGCGGTGAGACACATGTCACAACAGTCTGTGAGCCGAAAAACATTATCGCTGGGGCCGAGAGACGACACTTAAACAAAATGTCTCGGCACAGAAACGTCCGAGGTTATAACTACGATGAAGGTAGATAACTATTACTAAGTGTTGGTCACGGTTTTAACGTCATGGCAAGGCCTCGAACCGCTAAACTCGTTAGCCGCTAAGCTACAATCCATGTTATTGATTGTAGCTCTAGCAGCTAACAGGTAGCTAGTTTAGCTGGCAGGATAATGTTGGTGTCGTGTCACTTGGCACCTGGCACAAGATAAGTGGCAATATAATACTAGTATCTAGTTACATATTCAAGCTATTAGGCTAATGTTATACTTTTTAAACTCGATGTGATATTTCTAAAGCGAGTTAATATTGTAGCTAATGTTCTTGTTTACTAAAGTTAACGACAGCTACTTAGCTAGCTCGCTAACTTTCCAGTGTTTTGGTAGGAATGTTACAAGCTTGTAATTCATTGCTGGCTGTGGTATAGATACACCCCCCTGTCCAGATTTGTCAAATTCTACAGTCAAATAACTATAGAGAATCACTTCGTTCCCAATTTATTGTTTGTTATGCGTTCTGTGAAGTTGCTGACAAGGCAAAGTGACAGCTGTCACAAAGGGCTCTTTCTCTTTAGTACAGCTGCATTTCGTTCATGTGAATGTTTGTGTCAAGCACAGGAAAGGACACATTTGATGCTCTGGTATATTTTTTTCTAGACTTTGAAGATGATGACATGTATGGGCAGTCTGTGGATGATGACTACTGCTGTATATCACCAGCAACAGGTTGGTATCTGTGAATAATGGTGAACTAATGCCACCCTAACTGCAGACTGTGGCAACATGCAATGTATACATCAACAAGTATGTATGTTCGTAGATAAACAGCCAATATTAATACACCAGAATTAAATTTTTTCCATCAGTCAAAGAAAACAATGTCATCTTGCAATACATTAATGAAAAGAATGTGAGCATTTTAAGTGAATTTTAATTTGTAAAGATGATTTGATGAGATCAAATGTACATCATACAGCATTAGTTGAATATAAAGTTTAAATAGAGATGTTTTTGGTTTATTCAGCGAATCAGTTCATCTACTCGCGTCAAGAGAGGCAGCCACCAAAAGAAGAGCCTTTAGAAGAGGAAGAATATGAAGATGAAGATGTTCCTATGTCCCCTACCATCAGTCACAACCTTGACCCTCTTGATCAAGGTAATCTTTTTAAGTTCAGGCAACGTGATATTAGTGACAAATGTCAGAGATCATCTGACTTTTATCTTTGATTTTTGTGTATGAAAATTGAAAGACAGTAAGATCCTGTTGAATTAGTTGTTTTATTTTTACCCTATGTATTGTTCAATATTTAATCTGTTTCTGGATCACAAATACAATGCCTGTGACTAACCTGTGAATTGTACTTTGTAGCCAAGCTGTATTCTTGTCTGGATCATATGCGGACAGTGCTGGGAGATGCAGTGCCAGATTCAGTCCTCAGCCAGGCAGCCATAAAATATGGATTTGACCCACAGAGGGCACTGGATGCAGTCCTGTCTGAAGACACTAAAACAGCCCCTGTTAAAAGAAGTACCAATGAGGAGACAGCTTCGGTAGCAGGAGTTAGCCAAGAGAAAGCGCCACTTCCACAAAGAACCAAACGAGAGCCCGTGGCTGACAAAGGTACGCCTGGAGCAGATCAAAATTTGGTTTACAGTAGTTATATAATAAAGAATGTTTTTAACCAACACTCAAAATTATTAAGATATTTCACAGATAGTCATGATAAGTGTATTTTTCTTGTGATGTGGCTAGATAGATCTGATGAAATAAGATTAAGATCTGGAAGCTTGCCAGTCAAGAGGACTGCAAATACAAACTAGGAAGCTATCATTGCTTTGAGGAATGAAAGATAACAAGTATTGCCCACAGAATGCTTTGTGATGAGGCAACGAAGGTATTGATATTAAAGAGGATTCAGAGAAACACAAGAAGCGGACTGTTGCACAATAGATTGATAAGTCACTGAAATAGAATTTGGTGACATCTAATACTGGATCATGATATTTTTGACTGAATACCTGTGAGTTCTTCAAAAAATACTTGACCAAATGATCAAATATTATTAATAAGTATTGTGTACATGAAAACAAAACAGCAACTGTTCATTTCACACAAATGTGTGGGATGACACATTTAAGTCATGCAAATGTTTAACAAAGTGCCTTCTTTCTGTTTTTCCCCCCTCACATTTATGGTATGATTCATCTGGCCTCTTGTCTCTCCTCTTCGACACCTGCAATTGGCTTTCGTAAGGTAAGGAGCCTGCTTGTTTGCTTTTCACACAGACATTACATCCAAGGCACATAACCCCCAGCCCGATGGGTGCAAACATTCACAACCACGTACCCCAAATTTGCATGACCACTTATCTCAACATAAGGCTGACCTTGCGGTTAGCAGCTCTGAAAATCTAAATGTTATCCGTCAAAGTGTTGGTTCAGGTGTTAGCAGTCTAGCACAGCTCATGTCTGAACATGAGCAGAAGAGTAACGGGACAGCAGTAGTTGATAGAGGGCGAGGTTTGGGTGTTCCCCCATTAAGTGCTCTCGCCATAGGACCTAATTCACCTCCGTCCACTACGTCTAATCCAAATAGTCTTTCATTGGGAACGTTGGCATCTTTAAATATGTCCTCAGCATCTCACAGCTCAGCTCCCTCACTTCTCTCAGTTTCACTCAGTAGTCTGTCACTAAATTGCCCTAAACTAACAACTGCAGGCTCTTCTGTGGCTGCTCCCCCTGGGTTCGGGAATCTCACTTCTGTCCTCCAGAGCAATCCGCTCTTAGTGGGAGTTGGAACAGGAGGCAAAACCACAATGGCTGATCCTAAGGGAAGCCCATCATTGGCTGATTTAATCCAGGAACACTCAAACCACAGCCCAGCTATCAGTAACTATTTCCCTACTCCCCATAGTAGTGGAATTTCTGTAAAGTGTCAGGGTATGGCTGCACCAGCACAAACTTTCTCATTGTCTGAGCTAGCTTCACAGCACCAAAACAGGAGCTCGCATATTCAGTCTCAATCACAGAGCACTGAGCGACTGACAGATACACTTACCCTTTCTAAACCACCCAATATTACCGCTACATGCCAGGGTGGGACTGTCTCACTGTCACAGCAAGCCTTGCAGCATCAAACCAGCAGTTCCTTAGCTTCCCCTCAACCCGTCAACACTGAATCTACTGCAAATGCACTGAAACAACCACCTGGCCTTTCTGAGCTGCTCTCTTTGTCACATTTGGCTTCTGAACACAAAGGCAAAACCTCAACCACCTCATATGGGTTACAGTTCTCCCTCACTTCACTGCTGTCACCAGCAAAACCAGAGAGGGCGGGTGTGTTGGCAGAAAATACTTCAGAATGTGGCATCAAATGTAAGCTCGACCACAAATCGAACCACCAAAACTCCAGGCAACCTAATCTGGGCCAGACTATTGATTTGAGTGTACTCATGGCCCAGTCACATGGAGCGGGCCCTCGTCACTTCAACAACGACCTCCCTTCACTCTCTTGTCCAGCTTCAGGATCCTCGGCACAGGATTCGTCAGTTTTTGCAACACCTTCAGTATTTGCCGTTACTTTGTTGACTCAAAGCCGCAGACAACAGAAGATGACGAGAAATGTATTGAAGGGAAAAATAAGAAGTCAGAGGTCAGGAAGTGGATACCAGACCTTCCTCTGTAAATCGCAGGACAACTCCAAAGAACAGCTTACCCCACTTTCACCAATTGTACCATTCCGCTTTGACACGCCATCACCCGATGACATCGTCCGTGCTAATCAGCGAAAAGCTTTCACCAGGTAGACGAGTAAATAAAAAAACCCACTAAATTCAGCCACGTCCAGGTTGGTGCTAAATTGACTCACTTGGGATGAGAACCTCAGATCTTTGTGGTGGCCTCTACTCCACCAACTGAACTGAAGTCAAAAGAGATGCAGCTCTTAGGGTCATCAGCCCTAATGTGTCTTTCTAAGTACTGTGTCCCACAATCGGTCATGTGGAGTGAGGAAACTTTGGGACCAACAGATCAACACAATGACATGCTCGCTGCTGAACACTACTAAAAAATATCTGCTTGAAACAGTATTATCAAGGTAATTATGCATTTCTTACCGAGGCAAAGAGACAAATCTTATGTTGCTACTATAGACACAAAAATAATGTTTTAGTCAAACAGGACAAAGACCGAACTACTCAGAACCACTCTGGCAGCTTGAAATCAATTGCAGCTAATGTTTCAAAGGATTTTAGGAACTTTTAGAAAGATTTGTCCTCATTTTCTGTATATATTTTAAATTTTGAGTCTTATTTTTGTATGCTTAGATGGCCATTGGCTTTTAATTTTTGTATGACAGTAAAGTAGTGTAATCTTAGCCAGGGAAAATTAAAGTGTCTCTTCTGGCATGGCCTCTTTTTTTTCTAGCTTTGAGCTGCATGAACCCTCAAAAGAGAAAAAGAGGTTGATTTGGTTGCAGGTGTGCTGCAGCTATTGGAATATGGATCAGTTAACCATTGTACTGGTTTACTGCTGCCTGTGTTTGAGATCATGGGGTTGACTTTTTGCTTTAGAGGACACCTGGAGATTTTCCCATGAGAGAGCGAGAACACACACACACACACACACACACACACACACATAGATGCACACACACACACAGACAAGAGTGAACAGTTTTTATTATTTGATATTGACAAAATTAGTCTAATATGAGTGCAAGCACTGTGAATAAAGAAAGTACTGATTAATTCAAAATGAATGCCTTCACACCTGAGGTAAAGGTTTTTCTTTCCTTGCTTTTATGAGCTTTTAATATTACGATGTACAGATGGGTTTGATTTACACTGGGTGTGTCATCACACATTGCCAGAGGTTAATTTGTTCATTTTGAAATAAAGATGACTGAATTTATGTACTCTTGAGTGCGCCTATGTCTGGGCGTGTCCTCCTGGTGGGTGTGCGTTTGTCTGTCGGTGTCTAAAAAAACATAGTTTTGTGTTTAATGGATTCTACAGTTAAATCAGTACTTTTTTCCTTACTTGTTACAATCTAATATATAGGGTCACCGAATATGTACGACACCTGTTTGTTAAGAAAACGTCTATACTTAAGGATGAAGTACTTGTCATCAATGTAAAACCATTTAGGGGTTGAGTACAGGGCGTGACTATTATCTGAGAGAACTATTTAAGAAAGAAAACTGCATAATGTATCTGGTGCAGTGTTTGCACTTTTTAGGCAAGGCCAAAGTTTTTTAAGTCATCTCACATTTTTAGTGTGAGTCATTAGTATTGGTTTGAACGGATAAGAATGAACAAGGACCGCTTCAAGGCATGGCTGATAACATCTTGCACTAACAGCAACAACTGTAAGGTGCCCTGTTGTACACATGTGGTCGTGCAAACCATAGAAACTGGTGGTCCTACTCTTTTTGCCAGGTCACTTGTTCGTACTGTTGTTATGAGGCATGAGAAAAGGAAAAGAGCTAAAAGCAATATTTTCATATGGTTGAGTCATTTTCTTGCTCTGCCTTATGTGTCGGTCACACTTTTTGAGTTAAGAGGAAAGGTTTAGGTTAGATGTGTGTAAGCTTTATACAGGTGCAGAAAGGTGAGTGAAGTGGACCCCCAGGGTGTCAAACATAGACTGATGAGCCTGAGGGAAATGATTGACAATAAAGGGCACAAAGTGGAAATAATGACAAGTCAAACATTAGAAGTCAAACAGGTTTCTCAGTGTAATACTGGGAGGATAATGATGTTAAGAAACAATTAGGTATATTAGTGATGCTACAGTCTGCTTAGAGAGTGCATGATTTGCAGTAATTTTAGATTTTGCACTGAGGAAAATCTACAAACAATCACGTACCTTATTAACAAGTGGGTTTGTCCATGAACTGTTTTGTCCTTTTCTCTAAAGGCGAGCCAGTGTGTGGGTTTGAGCAGGAAGCTGCACTCTTGGAGAAAATGTCACCCCAAGCACACATCGACTCGACACAGCAGCCGATCATCTTACTCTGTGTCTCTTTTACACCACCTACGTAGGAAAATCTGATCATGTCTCTCAGCTTTCACAGCTTTGTCAGAGGCTTTGATAGATCAAATCATTTTGTGTCTTTACAGGCTCTGCATTTCTGCAAGGCGTACTTGTTGCACAAACATTGTTTTGTTGTGATGGAGTGCCAACGCTGGAAAATACCATTTTATTCATAGCAAGTGGTCAAAAGAAAACAAGTGCATATGGACATAGATGGCTTCAGTATGCTTTGTTGATGTTGAAGTGTGTTTAGAGGAAGAAAGGCTAAGAGAGACACAGGTCTTTATCTGAATGGAAAAAGCTTCATATTATAAGAAGCTTGCAGCAGGCATGCACATTGGCTTTTCGAGATCATTCTGGTTAATTTATTGTTCACTTGTTGGGCTGTTGTAGCTTGACCTGTGACAGCAGTAATGCTTTTGTGCAAATTGACAAACAAATCATTCAGATTCAAGTGTCATGCTTTGCTTGGCCTTTTCATGTCTGTGCTCCAAATCACTTTCTAGTTCACTCATTCACTTTCCCCAACGTAGTAAAAACTGAACATGTAGTAGTAGTAGGTTATTTACTAAATTCAGGTCATGGTCACTTTCTGAATCCTTACTTGGTGTAGGGCTGCACAGCTCTGTATATAATAACTTTTTACTACATTTTCCCCCCAAGATTTGCAGGGAAACTATTTATTACAGATTTTTTGCATTAGCTACATGGTCTACATTAAGACAGACAATATCATCCTAACGCACAGCACAACACTAAGGGTGCAAGTTAATATCCAACTCCTTTATAAACTTAATATTTATCACAGGACTGTACACAAAATATTGAAGCCTTGTCCAGAAAATGAAGGAGGATGACGCTGTCCATTGTCCTCCTCTAAACTCCAAAGGGTAAGCTCCTCCGGGCTGCGGGGGTTTTCTGATATTTTCGAGTCATTGTCGTGGGAATGAAATTACACAGAGGTGTGACTCAAAATTAAGATTTGAATATGAATAATCTTGCAGCCGTGCTATCCATGAAAATTTGCAGGTGTTTAGCTCCTTCCACGGTTTCCTCCATCATTACAGCTACAACCTTCCAGTATGATCACCAATGCCTTATGGGAAATGCAGTAAGATGTTAGTTAATCTTTAAGAATGAATATGGCAGAATCTTTGGCCTTTTATACCCTGTTTCTTGCCTCTTTGGAAACGCTGGATGTGTAGTCATGTCTGTCACTCAAAACAGGCACTGCTGGACTCGAAGCAAGCACTGAATGGGAAAGTGGGTGCGCCACAGAGTATCACTTTAAATAGGACGACATGTTTGTTTAATTATTTTAGTGAACAATATAAATCCAAACGTGCCTCGACATGACTGGTTATTGTGCTGAGGACTAGACATTAATCTCACTATAGTTCTGTTTTGATATACTGCTGTGTTTACAGACACAACAGTAGGTGAGAGTTCTCAGGTAGTTGGTATGACTCAAGTTGACTGCTGAGTAGGTAGTTGTAGAGGATGAGGAGATATAGCTTATGAAATGTTGAGGAGTGGTACTGACACTGTGTGTTTGTGTGTCTGAGTGCAACTCATCTTGAAAGTGGTCAGGTAGGTCTCTACTGAGGGCTTTTCCTTCAACCAGCACTCTCATTTCCTTTATAGTTGTTTTTCATTCATGTCTTCATCGAGTTTTCAAATGTGAATGAAGTCTAACTTCTATTTTGGTTCACAGGTATATCCATTAAGTTAGAGCAAAATCAAGCTATAATGTGCGAGGGAGTGCTAGAATGTAGCTTAACATATACCATGACAGGAGATTTTACTGTGTCCCCTCTGGTGAAAATCTCCTGTGCAGCAGCCTGGACTAAAAGCTGGAATTTAAATATTTGTTCTATTTGCACTATTAGTGGCACATTGTTTTCTACACTGTACCTGAAGATCCTTTGTGGCAGCCAGAGCAAGACGAAACTAATCTGAGAGAGAGCTAACTTTGACACAGTCATATCGGCCTAGACTCAGTCACAATACATGTTTTTCCCCTCGTTTTCCCCCAAGGTAGGACCATAATGATTTGAGTTAAGTCACACACAATTCTTGTCTTTCACAGCCTTTAGCGGCCTCAAGTGGTGGGGAGCCTCAAAATCTAAATTTCCTCTCCAGAATTCTCAATTTTAGTTGTGATGACCAGCTGTTCATAGAGTGTTCAATCAGTTTATTAACCATTGATTTGAGAGAGTGTTGTGCTTTCCTGAATATTCAGAGCATGTGCTCTTGACACTGTCAGACAGGGATAGAGACATTAGAAGACACTTGCATGTATTTGGACAAGGGGGGAGGGGGGGCGGGAGTGATATTTGCATATCCTGGGCGGACTCCTCTTATCCTGTGCTCAGTTGGGCCCTCAGGCCAAGGTGTACAGATGAGTCACTCACTCCTAGTCACTGTAAGGGTCCCCTATCAAAAGAAGTCCTGGATGGAAGGGGGCCAACTGTTTACCTGCCAGTCTAAACAGTGTAAAGAGATACTGCTCCGAGCCTCAGAACAACCTGTGCTGTGAAGCTATTCTCAGGCCGCCCCACTGTTAGTGCTGCCCCTAGGCTAGCCCAAAAAAAATTACCTGGCAAGTCGGTTGTTTGCAAAGGTATTACAGTGTTTTGACAGAGCAACATGTTCAGTAGTTAAAAAGGGGGTTGTTTATTGCTTAAGACCTTGGGGGAGTGTGGTTGGGCGCACCTGTCTGTTTCACCCCAGGTTAAAAATAAAGATTTTGCTGTTCCTCATTGCCCTATTATATAATTTAATCTAAATAGAGCATTAATCTCACAGCTAATGTTCCAAGTAAGTGGACTGCAAGCTGTAGGCTGGTGTCGGCTGTTTGACACAGGTGGTAGAAACCTACATGTCACTGTAGTAGGTGCAAAAAAAGACTCCAGCTGCAGGAAGAACCCAAATTCCCCAGAGTGCTTTTTCTCTCTCATGTTGCTGCCTTCTGCAGGACAGGGCAGCATCAGATGACACATATTGATGCAGATTTTCAGTGATAGTGTTAGAGATCTGTAACTGTTTTGAGGTCCATCTATTACAAGAACAGGTAGTTTTCAGATCTTTTCTAAAGTGCAGCTAGCAGTTTTCATAAACTATAACCCTTTTTAAAAAAAGAAAAAAAAAAGTATAGCTTTGATGATGCTCTACACTGGTTGTCCCCTTTTCGACCTTTTGGACACATGTTGATCACACTGTGGAAATAAACAGCGTACAAATGCCATTACTTTATAAAGAAAAAAAGGCTCTTCAGAGTGCAGTGAACTGCCTAGTTCATATATCACTGTTTCAGAATGAGAGGGACTTTTTCTGTAATGCAGAGACAGTCATCCAGAGAATACTTGGTTAGAGAAAGTCCATTAATAATGCTGTTGAATGACACCTCCTTTCCTCTCATTTTCCCTCAGGGTATTTTTTTTATGATGAATAAACTGCATGAAGCTCACAGAGGCACACAGAAATGATTAGTATAATGTTTAAAATGCATGCTAAAGCTATAGATATTATATATATGTATGCAGAAAGGGAGCAGTGTTTTTCTTGCTTGATGAAGGTTGAAGTGTTGAAATTTTATCAATGAGGAGTGTGTGGGCGTTTGTTTATCTGTTATCACACAAACTAAAAATATAAAAGGAAAACTGATGGAAATTACATTCTCTGACCAACATCAGCCTTTAAAGTTGTCACATCCATTATGGGGTATTTTAGTGTTGTGCGTGTCCTGTCGTGTTAATATATATATTGTCATGTATATACATGTATTATATGTATTTTAATCGATTGAGCGTGATGATACACACATTCACCTCCAGCTCCGCACTTTGCTGATGTGACACTTTTTCAAAAGATTCATTCCGCGAAATGCTTTGTCACGCTGCTCTATTTACGTGGAGACGGGAGGCAACGGCTACTTCTGAAATTAACCCTTTCTGAACCAGGATGACACTGCCACACACATGCACACGGTGTGCAGTTGGGTTGGCTGTGCAACCTGATCTAAATGAATCAGTCACAGGTTGATATGACTGGGACCGGTGGCCATTTGGGACGGGGATGACAAAGCAATGATATCAACAAGTCTCACTGCTGCAGAATATGAGAGTGCAACTGATTGCATCACATGCTCAGACTTCAGAATATCTATGTTATATGCCGGTAAGTGGCAACTATGACCAGAAAAATAGTCATAAGCAGTACATTGTAGTAATATCCTCTGGATGTCCTAACACCACACTGAATGCTATTGAATAAGCTGTTTTCTGTGTTTCATGTTATTTCCATGTGTTTTCTATTACTATCTAGCAGATGTAGGCAGTTTCACAACAAATGTGCTAGACTTAGTCATTTTAAAAGGAAAAGCTCAAATCTCTTCTTTAGACTCAGTCCACTGTCAACTCTAAACTGATTATTGAAAGTGTGAACTTTTACATCAACATGATCTTTATACAGGAATCCTGGTCTTGACAAATATGTGAAAAATACACTTGTGTACAGAGTGGGAGAGACCTTTCAGTCTTCTCCTGGCTATGAAAGATAGAAGAGACTGTTTACCAATACATATAAAACATTTATAGCTCTTTTTAAATAGGAAAAAATGTTATATCCTCTTGTCAGAGGCCACAGTGAGTCATGACTTCCATTATTTTTAAGCAAGTGTGCATTTTGTTCCTCTCTTCCTAGCTAAAAGCCGAGATGCGTCACACAATAAACTGGAGTCTGAGGTGGTACCCAAAGTGGCTCGAATGACTGTCTCTGGCAAGAAGCAGACCATGGGCTTTGATGTTCCCAGGTATCTAAAACACCTCTGCACTTTTGCTGTGATTGATTTTGGAAGCTGTATGCTGGCATAATTCTCATTTGTTGCAGAGAAGACAAAGAGTTGGGTTTCATCTGTGATTTTAAAAACTCGCCCACATTCTCTCCTCAGCACAGCGGAGAACGGCAGCGTCACTGCTTCGGTTCGCCGTGGCGGCAGTCCTGAAAACGCAAACGTGACGCCCGCCACAGAGGCCACCTCCAAACGTCCTGAGACCCCGTCTAAAGGCTCGAATGGAGACGAGCCCTCCCCAGTTCCCACCCCAGGCCGCAAGTCCCGTCAAGCACTCAATATCAAGGCTGAGCTAGAGAAGAGACAGGGGGGCAAACCTCTGTTAAATCTGGTAGTTATAGGTAGGAAGAAACAACATGACAACAACACCACTCATAAACCACCACAAAAAACACTTGTAACATAGAACTTTAATTCGGGATATAGCACATAAAGCGATTGGCACAATTACATACATACTTGTTTCCTACAGTGCACACAAGTTACAGTTAGATTCGCAGAGGAAGTGCTGTTTGCTTTGTTAAGCAACTTAAGTTTTTATTTTTTTGGGATTTTAAATATTTAGAAATATAGCAACTAAATATGTGTTTTTTGAGTTCCATTTTTTTTAAATGAAGTGCTTCTTGCATCATCCCCTGCAGAAACATTTCTTCAGCAGCTCTCCTTCCAAAATTTACTTACATTTCAAACAGTGTGCATGAGGTCCACACATTGCAACATGGCTGGTGTGAGGTGAAAAAAGAAAAAGAAGGAAATCAGCCCCCCCCCCCCCATATCCTTCATTTTGTGAATGCACACTGTATGCTCCTTACACTAGTTAAACCATTTACTATCTAATATTTAAATGTGATGTTTAATCTCCCCCTTTTGGTTTCCATGTTTGGTGTGAATATGTCTAAGCTTAATAGCAGCGAGTGAGTTGAACTGCAGACTAGCGCAGTTGCTTGATCATATTTTGCTCGTTCTCAGTTAGAATAAGTGACTAGGTAGTTTCAGAAGTGCAGATGATTCTAGTTTCCCACAGTCTGTGAAACCTTTCGTTTTACCATGGCCCGTCTCCCTTCCCCCTCTCACACTTAATCCTTGTTCCCATTTCTGTCTACCTCCTTCCACTTGTGCAATTCTGCTTCTGTGGCTTCCCTTCTCCATGTCTTATGTTCTCTCTTTCTCTACCTGTCTTATCACTCTTGCTACAGTCTTCCTGTCTGTGCCAGTCTGTCCCCATCTCTCCCTGGTGTCGTCCCACCCCTCCTCCAAGTCCTGTTTCTCTGTCGCTTCCTTTCTTTTTGCATCCTTAAACGTTTGACATTATTACATTATTCCCTCCTTCTCTGCAGGTCATGTGGATGCAGGTAAAAGTACGCTGATGGGCCACCTGCTTTATCTGCTGGGCAACGTCAACAAACGTACCATGCACAAGTACGAGCAGGAGTCAAAGAAGGCGGGCAAGGCCTCCTTCGCCTACGCTTGGGTGCTGGATGAAACTGGCGAGGAGAGAGACAGGTACATTTTGAACGTGAAGCTACGAAAATACGCATGGACAAAAATTCTGTCTGCGCAGGTCAGGTGTGGTTGCAGATAGACAAGGACACTTGTGAAGTGCAGATGCTTACGAATCTGTCTCCTCCGTCCGTCTGCTTCTGGTTGATAACAAACAAGCCTGAGTCAAAAGTTTTGTCCAATTGCTGGTGTCCCAGTACTAGTGATGGGGCGTCGATATAACATAATCTTGTCCAGGATGTGATCTGGACAAAAATGCTTTCTCATTGGAATGACTAAAACTTTCCTGCATTAGCTGGAATGTGTTTTGCTTTTTGACACAGAAAATAGGTTATTGTTGAAATCATGTCTGCATTTGCCCCCTCTCTGTTGTTGTCACCAGACTGAAACGGAAGCGAAATATGCCAGAAACAGAAAGTGATTCGGGTGGGAATCCGTATTTACTTATCAGTAACTTCTGAAGTGTGCGTAATACAGCGACAGTCTGAGAGCCTCGCCCACTAGAAGACGTTGCTCTTGAACTGAAATTGACCGGGGCTCTAAATCCACATCCTTTTCCTGGTCCAACTACTCCGTACACGAGATTGTTCTATTTACAGTATTTCTCCACTTAGTTTTACTTTTACCGCACACGCTATTGATGATTTTTATCAACTGGGTCATATAGTTGGAAAAAAAAAAAAAAAAAAAAAATTAATTATTTGTGTTTTCTACAGAGGTGTGACAATGGATGTAGGCATGACCAAGTTTGAGACGAACTCTAAGGTGGTGACCTTAATGGATGCGCCTGGACACAAAGACTTCATCCCCAACATGATCACAGGAGCTGCACAGGTAGACCATGTAAAAGTCTTCAAGCAACATGTGCTATTCACAAACATTAAACTAAGTGATGGACATGGGCCACATGAGTGTTTGAAAGTGCAGTAATGGTACTTGCCTTGCTCATTTTGGTTTAAGTCACAAATGATTTTTGAGTGATTTAGAAGACTCAGTATTTCCTTTTTTATTAATTAATTAATACTTTTTTTTTTTTTAACCACTCATATGATTAAATTGTTGCAGCAACACAAGAAATAGGCCGAGCAGCATATAGATACATAGGAGAAAAAACATCTATCAAACTATAGTAATATTAAGTTAAATATAGTTAAACATAAAGTTGAAATATAGCAAAGTGCAATTTACATAAGAGGTGAATCATAAATTATAATATAGTATTAGAGAAGGTGAAATGGATAGAATCCTCTATCACAGTTTATGTAATTTAATAATGCAACATTTACATATTGTTAATATAGAATAGTCTGTCAAGGAACTGAACAGAGAATATTGATTTTTACTCAAAATATTAAGATTCTTCCAGTAGCTCTGAATATATCAGTAAGCTGCATTTGTGGCTTAACCACCATAAGATCTTAACTGCTCCTTGATGTGACATTAAGCTTTTCTCTAACTTTGCAAATCTCACCTCTGATTAAAATCCTTTCCGTTCCTCACTATACCCTTAGCTTGCCACACCCGTTAGTGTGATTTCAAATAACTTTCGTGGTTTGGGTGTTGGTGTCAGGAGGTGTATTTGCCGGCATGGGTGTGTTTGTCTGTCCCTTTTTTTTGGGGCTCTAATGTAATTTCTCTTTTTACCATATGACTGTCTTCACGTTCAGCCTCTTCATGTAGTGACTAAGGGGTTTCTGTTGTAAGCAAATTAAGGTGTCAGTCAGACACGTACTCTGAAGGTTAAGAGGATGTTTGTCAGCCAGAAATTAGCCAGTACAGCATTTTTTCATTAAATTAAAAAGAGCTGAATTACAATATTTCTATATTGCTGCATGTTTGATATATTTGACTGTATTTTTTCTTTCTAATACATAAAGCAAACAAGCAAATTTGATGCATGATTTCCAATAAATATTTACAATTTTATTGAAATATGAACAGTAAATTATATGTATTGTATGTCTTGTGCACAATTTGTCTTTTTTAGTTATTTCATGCTTTCTAACATTATAGACACTGCTCTTAACACTGCTCTTTTTAACAGGTGTCTCATTTTGCACGTGTATGTTCAAACATCAGGATTCAGTTATGAAATTACCTACTGAGTAGGGTTAGTGGTTATGATAGTGGTTATGATACTCACATCTGCATCAACACAAATGGATGCATGTGGGTCTTATCTTTCCTCTGGGTTCTGTCTCCAGGCCGATGTGGCCGTGCTTGTGGTGGATGCCAGCAGAGGAGAGTTTGAGGCGGGCTTCGAGGCCGGGGGTCAGACCAGAGAGCATGCCCTGCTGGTGCGTTCGCTGGGCGTCACTCAGCTCGCTGTGGCCGTCAACAAGATGGACCAGGTCAGATCCACCGCACATTAGTGACACACAGTTGGGATGACTTTCTTTTGCTAGCGCTGTTGACCACAAATATTGTGGTGTATCAGATACAAACAATATTATTCTCATAAAGTGGCAAAGTGGTGTTTCATTTTCACAAATACACATGAATCCTGGCTCCACGGGGACATGTAATTAAAAATCATCTGAAAGTAGTTTGGTACTTTTTAAAAATCTGATAATTTTTAATGAAAGTTGTAGAAGCTGAAAGTGCAGAGCATTAAGAACATGGGGGTTAAAATCGAGTCATCGAGAATTTGTATTGTTTTTAATCAGAGTTCATTAATCAGCACCACACAGTGTTTCTGTCAGGAGAGAAGGCAACCTTAGGGAACTATGTGCGTGTGATTTGTATTTTTGTGTTGTTTGTTTCCTACAATAACTGGCATATCGCTGACACATTTCCTTTTCAAAGCCGTGCTGAAGGGGAAACTTTCGCTCTGTGTACTTTTTCTTTTTCCTCTATGTGCGTGTATAAATCAGGTAAACTGGCAACAAGAGCGTTTCCAAGAAATCATCTCCAAACTTGGCCATTTCCTCAAGCAGGCGGGATTCAAGGTGAGTTGGCACTAACTCGCTCGACATCTTGACGTCTTACAATATTAAACCCTTCATCAGTGTCAGTGTATTAGCTGTTGTTTTATACAGAGGGCTCCAAAAGTCTGACTTATTTTGGCTAAGAGGAAGTATTTCCGACTTTAGGAATTTGAAACTGGTGTTTATCTGTTTCTGCAGGAGTCTGATGTTTTCTACATCCCCACCAGCGGCCTGTCAGGAGAAAACCTCGCCACCAGGAGTTCAGTTTCACAGCTCACCTCCTGGTACTCTGGTCCCAGCCTGCTGGAGCAGATTGGTAATGTACACTGGCATGCATCATCCTGCCCGAAGCGTTTACTCCCTTTTGACTGCATTTCTGCCATTTTTCATCATGGGTTTCTTGCAAATGTGTGAAGAAACAACACAAGAGTCACTCATAGGTTTTTGTGCATGTGCAAAGAAAATCTGCCAATAATTATTCCAACTCACGCAGATCTTTTGAGTATCAGTTATTTACCTTTTCAAATACAGTTTGCTACTCAAAACACAGATTTTCAATGAAACAACTCTTCTAAATGACTTACTGTAGCACAAAATGACTTGGATAACAAAGAAGAAATTAATTACAGTTTCTTCATAGTTTTACTTACACTCTATAGAGCACCGTCACTTCTATTAAAGTGCTGATCATCTGGACTCATGTCCAGTAAGATGACTATATAGTGTTATTCATCCAGTACCAGTGAAAATGATTCATCACCCCGGTCACCAGACCTCTCACGATATTCACTAGCCTTTCCTCTTTTTTTGTCTTCTGTGTTTTTCTTCTCCTCTAAAGATGCCCTCAAATCTCCTCAGAGATCTGTAGACAAACCTTTCAGACTGTGTGTCTCAGATGTGTTCAAAGGTAAAGTCAGCGATTTATACTTTCATACTGTGCAAGATTTTGTTCCTGTCCTATTTCATTTCTCTTTTTTAAATTAAAGAGGTTGCTGATGTTGTGTTCTCTCCTCTCAGACCAGGGTTCAGGCTTCTGTGTAACAGGGAAGATCGAGGCAGGTTACATTCAGACTGGGGACAGAATACTGGCTATGCCTCCTAATGAAACCTGCACTGTCAAAGGTACGCACTGGTGTGTCTTTGCTGCCATTGTGCTATTGTGGCTGACTTTGGTACTTCAAGCAAAAAAGACAACACACACTGCACAAAATCATAAAACATTTGAATTTGTTAAAAAAAAATTTTTAGTTTAAAGTAACTAAGGGCAAACAGCATTATAATGTGTCTCCACGGAGGACGCTAACCTAGGACTAAGCTATGCTAAAATAAAAGTCTCTTGTCCTGTCACTGTCAGATTAAAACACACCTGCATTTGAGTAATGGATGACTACTGAGTGAGTGGTAAACACTGCCATCCAGTGGAAACTAGTTTACTTACACTCTGTTTGCACTACAGGAATTACTCTACACGACGAGGCTCTGGACTGGGCTGCAGCAGGAGACCATGTCAGCCTGACAGTCACCGGCATGGACATCATCAAGATCAAGTAAACAAGTGACATATGACAAATGACAGTGTATTAATTAAAGGAAAAAACAACCTTCCACTGTGGTTCAGCTTTGGTCTTAGTCAGTTGTTGCACAGGATTGTATGGATGCTAGTCCAATTATAAATAAAGGCATACACCTTTACAAGACATCAGTAAATGCAGTAAAACCTGTTGTGCTCTCAATACCCCTTGCTGATGATGTGATCCGGTGTTTTCATTATGCCTAGATTTTATTTATGTGTTACATTTTCTGATACCTGCTTCCTTCCAGTGTGGGCTGTGTGTTCTGTGATCCTAAGGAGCCTATTCGAGTCTGTACTCGATTCAGAGCCCGAATCCTCCTCTTCAACATCGAGGTCCCCATCACACAAGGCTTCCCAGTAAGTGCAGGCAAACAGACTCTGACACTCGTACTACTGAGACCTTTTCATGATAACTGCGTGTACTCTACTTTCTGTTTTGTTGTATGTAAATGTTTATTAACTGTGATACTGTTTCTGTGTGTGCTCGGTGTAGATATTGTTGCATTACCAGACAGTCAGTGAGCCGGCCACCATTAGGAAACTGGTTAGCGTTCTACACAAGAGCAGCGGTGAAGTCCTCAAGAAGAAACCAAAGTGAGTTTATAAATACATACATCAATTCCCAAAGCACTGAAGCTGTGGCTGGGAACTGTGAAGCGTAGAATAAATTTACCTAAAACAACTTTAAATTGCTGACGTGCTGCTTTACAGTGCTTTATATCATCATGTGTAAAGTGCTGTAGCTTTCTCAGTGAAGCTGTCTTGCTTCAAAACATGACACCAGAGCGGCATCACCGCCATCAAACCATATAGAACAGCTGATTGTAATTTTCCAAGAAATGCTTCATATTACTCGTATTACTTACTCTATTAAATACAATACATAAGACAGAATCCGTTGTTTTTCCTGTAAAGGTGTTTGAGTAAGGGTATGAACGCCATTGTGGAGATCCAGACCCAGAGGCCGGTGTCATTAGAGCTGTACAAGGACTACAAGGAACTGGGCCGCTTCATGCTGCGATACGTAGGCTCCACCATTGCTGCTGGTGTTGTCACTGAGGTAAAGTGCAACTAACATTAGGCCCGAGTCAAAACAACATATAGATTGTGTGTTACTGCATAAAAAAATGAGTTGATGTTCTAAACTACTATCCTGTTCTGTATACTGTACATTTCTCTTCTACTCAAGCATTTAGGCCTGTTCAACCCTGTGGAAGAACTGACACTAGATGACACCAACTGTAGATTTGTTTTTTCCTTTCTTAGATAAAGTGTCCTTCGTAAGTTTCTTTTTATTTCTCCTCACCGCAGATCAAAGAATGAAGACCCATTTCCATCAACACAGAGCCGGTCAGGGCTTGCTCTGGAGACTGCATGCAGCCAGAGACAAAGTGCAATTCCTCAAAGAGATGTCACTCATGGACCCAGAGCATCACAACTATCCATCCATCACTCCATCCAATGCAGTAGCTGCTTCACCTGACCGCTCCCGGCAACACTGACTGCACAGATACCGACCATTTGGCGAGATGCCTGATATCCTGACACAGTGATGCTGAGCACCCAGCTACCCCCCGCTTCAAATTCACTTCAAACCATTCACCTGTCAGTAAAACCTTATTGCTCTCAAATCTCTTGTTTGATCAAGCCAAGTCAATAATACAATCAGACTCTGGAAGACGATGCTACCACGCTGAGATTTCCACAGTGGTTCATTTCACTGTTCTCTCCTCGAAGGAGCTATGGCTGGTCATGAATTCTGACTTAAAGATTTTGAAACCTGATGTAGATCAGCTGTGGTATTAAGATGACATTTGCTTTCTGCTGTATTTAAAGAGTGAAAGAACAAGTCCACATTTCTCCCTTACTGTATGTAAAACCTAATATGAGGAATGAGGATTCTGCATCCTGTTTACATCACAACTTTTATCCATAATAAGGCTCTTCTAATCAAAACTGCTGACCTGAAGTAACTAATTTTAAATTTAGACAGAAATGAAAGAATGTGGCGTTATGTCATGTGGGAGTTGAGGGCAAAATGTTTATTTTTACTTTTATTTTTTTACCATTAATATGTCTGCATCTCAAATTACATAGCTAACGGGACATGGTCTACAAAGACATTTAAATGTGTACTCTAATTAAGATAGAGTAGTTTGAGAACAAAAAAGGGAAACTTAAATTTCCACTTCCATTTGGAGAAAGAGACAGAATTCTCATTTATAGAGATAATTACTTGAAATGCTTCTGCAAAGGAGATGTTCAGTAAAGCAGCAAAATGCTTTTAGAAGGGCTTTTTTTTATTTTAATTTCTTACAAAAGAAAGACTCAGCTGAATGGAGGTGGGAGGTTGTCGATGGAGCTGTATTTCTGTTTCTCCATGTGTGAAAAAAGATGATGCAAAATGAACATGACATCAGTAATCTGTGGTTTTGACTTTTGATTTCAGTAGTTTGAAGTGTCCACTCTGAAAATCCTTTTAAAAGCTTGGTGACGGGTTTAAACTGGGGCTTTCAATGTTGAAAATACGCATCTGAAAGTACGTAGGAAGCGCGAGAATCAAGACGTGATCGTTTTCCCGTCAAGTTTGACAGTGACACAGCTGGGGTTGCTCCCACTGGAGTGGAAAGCACCACAAAAACCAAGGAAATTTTTTCTTAGTTAAAGTTGTGTGAGAAAGATGGGAAAGATCAGAGGAGATTGGGGTTTAATGTACAGCGAAAGTAAATGGATCTCAGGATAGACGCTGTAAGCCTTTATTGGACAGCACAGACATTAAATGAACAAAGTAGTAAAGAGGGGTAAAAATACATAAAGTCAGATACAGATGTGTACCATGACAGATAATGTGTTTGCGATTGTGAGAGTTTCCTGGATGCGGCCTTTTCTCAGATAACACTTTGGTGGCTGTCAGCTATAAAAATGTTTGACAAAGGTGCTGTGAGATGAAGTGTCTGATTAACAGTGAGCAACTTCTTTAGTACCTGTATGCAAACACAGAAAAGTGTGTGTGCATGAAAGTTGGCCATAGGTTTATTATGCAGGGAATGAAAAAAAAAAAAATAGGTAAATGCATATACATACAAATATAAATACATTAATCCTGCAATATGTACAGACTTGGTTAGTCTGTTAATCTTTTTTTTAAACTGTCTCATCTTGATTTAACTTAGTTCTATAGTTACGGTGTTGTTTTTCTGTGTTACGTGATTTGACAGGGTTCGTGACTTGATGCACCAAGCAATTCAAGCCCTGACTTATCTTGTGGTTCCGTTATCTCTGATACGATGCTGCTTATTAATATTCATCTTAATATGACTCACTTGTACAACATGCTGCCTAAACTGCTATCAGTCACAAACACCGCAAAAAAGTGTATGTGGTGCAGAGGCGAAGGTCTCAGAAATCATTGACGATATCTTCCATTTCTCATGATGAAGAATTTCCACCATACAGACAGATGTGTGTAGGTCACACAGCTGCCACAGGATGGCAGTGTTCAGTAGACATGACAGTTCAGCACACACTCCGGTCCTTCACAACACAGTTGGACACTTCCACAGACATGTACAACTCTGAGTCTGTGTCTGTGTCTGTCACTGTCACCTTGAAATACATTTGAAAAGCAAAGCCTGAAACTCTTTTCGTCTACAGACCTCTGAGAGGCCTTAAACGGATCCAGCAGAGCCAAGAGGAAGATGAAAATAACAACTGTTGATACTGTAAGTCTGGCAGCCTGTACCATAATGAATGATGAATCACTTTCTCTGTAAATGGTTGAGTAATGCTGTGGCTTCATAGTCAGAAGCCGTACTTTCTGAATCAGTACTTTCTAAAACTGACACACAGTTGTCACCCTTGTGTACACACACAAAAAAAAAAAAAAAAATGCTTCAGGACCATAAACCTTTCAGTATGTCTCATGGAGAACTGTGTGTAACTTACTGTTGAGTTCTCACGATACAGAAAGGTGAGCACTTGCCTTGCCCTTCCACTGTGGCCTTGCATGTCTTTGCGCTAACAGGATTGCATAACATAAAATATATAAAAGTGAGCCCTGTGATGTCCATTGGTGGGATATAGGCTCCAGCCCCCCTTGGGGCCATTACAAGGTTTAATCTTTAACATTTAAATAGGAAAAAAGCATTTAGGGAGAGAGGCCTGCTGCCACTGAAAAGGCCTGATACCTTTGGTTGAAATCTCACCTCAAGGTCCATTTAGTAGCTGCTATGGAGCTTTGATTACATCACATGATCATCAGGCGATGGTGTTTGCCCAGTTTTCACGGAACTGTAGATTTAGACATTTCTTTCCTGAGCACCTCTCTTCTACTTCTGTCTCCATGAAGTGTATTTCCACGTCCATTAGTATCCTGCTTTTGACACTTATCCTGTTTTTTGATGATTCGGGATATGCCGTTTACATGAGACGTGAAAAATATGGGTTTCACATCCTTGTATACATTATAACAGTACCCAGATTTCTGATTGTGTCCCATCTCAGCCATGAGATGGTTCAGAAACCTGCAAGGTGTTTACAGTATAGGCAGTTTACAGTATGAGGTCAAGTTTCTGAAAGCAGGATAAACTTTTAACATGAGCAAACCATAACCAGGATACTCAGTGTCAACAATTAATATGAAGCTTAGTTTTTATGCCAACATGCAAGTTACACCTGGCAGTACTGGGCACAATGAAAAAAGAAATCCTGCCAAAAATGACTAAAAAAATACTTTTGAAATTCTTAAACCACTTTATTTTATGGATCATAGCTTTCAAAACAAGTGGTCATACCTGTACCTTAACCCCCCCCCCCCTTCAGTTCTGATTTTCACAATGCACTGACAGCTGTGATAGTGGTAACATGACTGACCAGTGTTGTGCTCTGGGAGAAGCAGTGTCTTTTATTGTGAAATGTGCAGTGGGAGGATCAGTGCAAGGCCAGATTCTGTGTCCAGGTTCCCCTCTCTTTGCAGTTGGATTCATGCGGTTTGAGACGCTGTCTGCTCCAGCCTGCTGTCACCTTACTCTCGGTTAGTTGTGTGTGTTTGGAAGCAGATTAGCTGACAGTCATGGCGAAAGCCTCGGGGCAGCGCTCGTACCTGGTTCTGGAGAACTACATCGGAGGGAAATTCGTCCCCTGCCGGAACCACATCGACTCCTCCGAACCGTCCACCGGAGAGGTCTACTGCAAAGTACCTGACAGCGGCAAAGAGGAGGTGGGACATCCTCAGAAATTGATATTTTTACTTTATTTACATTATGCACTATGCATTTGGTGCTTCCTCAGGAGTGCATAGAACTTATAGGCTAGGCTACTGTCCCTTGCTGAAATTATACAATATTTGTAGTTATTTGTCCTGTGTTTGGCATATGTTGTAATCTGAGATCATTTTAAATCTAGCATGACTGGACTCCCTTGTGAAGCTGTTTTTGAGTTAATATTTTTCATGTTGTGTTTCTAATTTTTTGTCCACTCCTTTAAATAACCACCATAAACATAAAGATTTATAATCACATTGTGTTGGATGGCATTTTATTGCAAGCCCTTGGGTGAAGTAGTACTTGCAATGGTAAAAAGGAAATTAGCATGGCAATTCATTTCTATGTGCTACATATTCTTGTTGAATATAAGGTAGGTGAAGGTTAGTTCAGATTAGAAACACAGTTTCAGAGGGAAGCACCTTTGCTCTTTGCAGAGTCAACAGTCTAGTAATGATTAAACATATTAAACACACTCCATAAACGTTCATATTTTGTACTCAACAGTGGTAAGATTATAGAGAGTAAACATGTAATAATCAGCATTACTGTAGTACTAAGTGAAATCAAAGTTTTCAGCCAATGTGATGCACACACACACACACACACACACACACACAGAGGAGGTCCTAAGAGGTGAAAGTATCCAGTAGGTCTATATCACAAGAAAGCAGCATTTTTCTTTCTCTGCCCTTTAATCCTAAAGTTTATCTTGAGGCCCTTTGGTGTATGTGACCCCCAAATTGTGAACTGCTTGCGCAGTGTGGTGTAACACACTCCATCCTTTAACACAATCTGAAAGTCCCACAGAACAGCATGCTTATCTCCCTGTGCATGACTTCCTGCAGGTGGATGCAGCGGTGGCAGCAGCTAAAGAGGCCTTCCCCGACTGGTCCGCCCGCAGCCCACAGCAGCGAGCGCAGATCCTCAACAAGCTGGCCGACCTGATCGAAGCCCACCTGGAGGAGTTTGCCCAAGCTGAGTCCAGAGACCAAGGTGTTTTATAATACACGTGATACACATGATACACTTCTTGGATCAAACCAAGAGTCAGTCAGATTAATCAGTCATGTGGGATTAAGTAAGTGGGTCAAAACTGGTCTGTTTTCAGTATAAACAAGGTGGTTACTTATCTTAAGCACGACTGGATGCCCGAACCCTTGCAGCTGATATCATGTTGCGTCTATATTGTAAAACCAAATAATGTAGTAGGCCTTTTGGTGACACAAGATTGAAGGTCAAGAGGTCATGAGCAACAGTGGGAGTTATTCTGTACTTTGGGGACATTTGATTTTTGGGGATATTTTGTCATGGACGCAAAGTGTGGTTGAAAGGCACATTCAGACCCGATGATAGTTATAGAATAACAAAAAGTGTTTGCTCAGTGTTTCAACAAACACCATTGGTGCATAGTTTATCTGTTATGTTGGTGTTTTTCTTTCCAGTAATGTGTAAACAAGTGCTGTGTTATCCCCTGCTGTTCATCACTTAAACCTCCTTGGTGTAAATTACAGGTAAAACAGTAACATTTGCACGGACTGTGGACATTCCCCGATCGGCGTACAACTTCCGCTTCTTTGCGTCATCGGTGCTCCACCACACCACCGACTGCAGCCAGATGGACCACATGGGCTGCCTCAACTACACCATCCGCTGTCCTGTGGGAGTGGGTGAGCACTCAGTGTGTTTACATTACGACCTGCAAATGTTACATTTGTGTTTTTTGTGTTTTTAAATTGTGTTGTGGTGTGTGCAGCCGGTCTGATCAGCCCCTGGAATCTCCCCCTGTACCTGCTGACATGGAAGATAGCGCCAGCAATCGCTACGGGAAACACGGTGGTGGCCAAACCCAGCGAGATGACCTCCGTGACAGCTTGGATGATGTGCAAGTTGATGCAGCAGGCTGGTAGGACCACAGCACCCACAATGCAATAGCAATGGATGCACATATGCAGAAGTTAGAGCGATTCTCTCATTCATTACTGCACGTAAACATAATGTGAAGATCTTCACATATAATTTCTGCACACTGTCAAAACTCACTTTAAAGTATTTCTATCAAAAAACTTTTACTTGTACTTTCTATACCTTTATGAAAAATGAACAATAATAAATGAGTGATGGATACATTAATGGCCGTCTCTGTCTGCCTCTGCAGGTGTTCCTCCAGGAGTTGTCAACATCGTGTTTGGCACTGGTCCGAGAGCAGGTGACGCCCTCGTTGGCCATCCTGACATCCCATTGGTCTCCTTCACTGGCTCCACAGCAACTGCCCAGCGCATCACAGAACGGAGCGCCCCCTACTGTAAGAAGCTCTCACTGGAACTGGGAGGTAAAAACCCTGCCATTATTTTTGCTGATGCAGACCTGGACCAGTGCATCGAGACCACGGTTCGCTCCAGCTTCTCCAATCAGGTGAGAAAAGAGTGTTTCTTAGTGTTACATTACTATGTGGCTTATTCCTCTGCCTTTAGCTTATAATTACCTTTAATGTTGCTATAATTAAAAAAAAAAAGTGGTTCGGTTTAATTTGACTGAAATTTTTTTCAACTAAGAGTGACAAAATAATAACTCCATTTAGTAACAGATCTTTCAGCTGCATCAATCTCATGGTCTTCAGGTGAATTTTTGCCCAGATGTAGTTGCCAGTTGAAGTTTGCTCAGTCAGTTAACAGGTACTTCAGGTAAAATCGCCTGAAGTTTTCTAAGCTAAGCTAACCGGCTGCTGGTGGTAGCTTCATATTTATCATACAGACAAAAAGTGGAATCATTTCTCTCATCTAACTCTGTTAGAAAACCAATAAACGTATTTCACAAAATGTCAAACTTTTCCATTAAGAGTCTAACTGGGTGGGTCCTAATAGGTCCCGCTTGATTTCCTCATCTTGAGTCTCTGTCCTGAGAGTGGATTTGTCAAAAGCTAGTTCTCTACACTTTATTTAAGTTTTGCGCTTATTCTGTATGTGTCATGTTTGTGACATGATTAATGACTTTCAACACACAGGAAACAAAGAAACAAAAGGACAGCAGCGCATATTCAAATCTGTCCAAAGTCTTTATCTGTTTTCTCAAACTTAAATAAGCACTTTTTAAGCAAAATTGTTTTATGAGAGTGCTACATGAATAAATATTGTTTTTATTCTAATTACTAATGTCAGTAAAATGAAGGCTATTATCCGTATGAACTCTTATGTCTGTATGTGATGAGGCTGCAGTGGCACCATTTGTCCACACGGGGGAGATCAAAGCCCATCTTATCATGAGTCAAATACACGGAAACAATGTCGTGATCCATCAGCATGAACATCTTCTCTCCGTGTTTTCTGCTTTCAGGGAGAAATCTGTTTGTGCACCAGTAGGATTTATGTAGAGAGGAGTATCTACTCTGAGTTCCTGGAAAGGTTTGTGGCTGCAACTAGGAAGTGGAAGACCGGTGTGCCTTCTGACCCCAGCAACAACAACGGAGCTCTCATCAGCAAAGAGCACCTGGAAAAGGTGGTTATATACGTGTAATGTGTGAGGTGCTGTGAAAGAACAGTTTTCCGTTTGAAAAGACATGTTTTCAATACTCATATCCTCTAAGTTGATCCCTCTTTGTCTTGATTCCCAGGTTCGAAGCTTCGTAGCACTCGCCAAATCTGAAGGTGGCATCGTCCACTGTGGTGAGGGGGTTGAGCAGCTGGACCTGCCTGAGCTAAACAGCTCCGGCTACTTCATGCCGGCCACCGTCATCTCGGGCATATCTGACAGCTCTCGTGTCATGCAGGAGGAGATCTTCGGCCCCGTCACCTGCGTCAGCCCCTTCGACACAGAGGATGAAGCCGTTGCCAAAGGTAACGGCGTGCGTTACGGTCTTGCGGCCACCGTGTGGTCCAGAGACGTGGGGAAGATTCACCGGGTGGCCAAGCGATTACAGGCGGGTTTAGTTTGGACCAACTGCTGGCTGGTGAGAGATTTGAACCTGCCCTTCGGAGGGATGAAGAACTCTGGTGTGGGGAGGGAAGGGGGGAAGGATTCCTACCACTTCTTCACAGAGGTGAAGAGTATCACGATCAAACACTAAGGAAAGGGAGGAAGCTGGCAACAGAGGCAGGTATTGATTGGAGGAACATTTTCTCTCTGAGGCAGGTACAGGGATGTTTTTGCAGTTAATCATGACATTCATCAGACTATGTCAGCAACTCTTAGGAATTTCAGGAACAGATTTCCTCTCACGCTCTCACGGATTGTTGAAGCTTGTAATTAGGTCACATTTGTAGAATACAAAAGTCAGAGAAAGTCACATTGCAACAATACAGACGATTAGCAGAGATCCAAAAGGAATGTTTAGTGAGGAGCAAATATATTACTGGGTAAAACATTAGAAAATTGCACCTCTATCATTTGTTCTTTGCTGAATATTTTGTACCACAATCCTCTATTTCTGAGCAGATGAAATGCTTGGAGTAGTTTTTGGTTTCAAAATGAGAAAAAGTACAAACCAGACAAGGTTAAACCGGATCAAGTGAAAGCTTATATCCTGCCCATTTCAACTGAAGAAGTCCAAAGCACGATTTATGACTTTAAAGAACAGAAACTTAATCCAACATCCTTTCAAAGTTTATACAGCAGGTTTGTGTCCTACATGGCAGTTCAGGAAGTGACAGTCATTCTGAAAGAAAGTAAAACGGTTATAATATTAATAGAAAAGTCAAAAGGTTTCTTGTGAAGCAGGTTAACAAAAAGAGAGTTATGATGTGTGTCGCAGGCTAACCTAACCCAAGAACAAAATAATTGTAGCTGAGTTTCATCAGAACAAAACATGTAATAAGTGTTTTGTAACACATACATGTGTTGCCCCAAATTAAAATACCCTACATGAATCACCCATGTGTTTTTGTTTACTCTTGAAGTCTGGGTTATGTCACTCTCGTCTGCGGAATGCAGTAACTCCTGATGTTGTACTGACACAATGTCAGTACGTAAAAGATAGATGTCAAATTCTGTGAGAAGAAAAGAGGTCTGCTGACAGATCACTGTTCACTTTGAAAGTGAAGAAGTCAACGTTTCACATGTTTATCAATACACTTTGTACTATTCATGTGTCATGATCCTTTACGCCTTAATCTGTTATAGATATAGATTTTTTATTTTTTTTTTTACATCACACAAACTTTACAGTATGTACTCAAAAGTAACTGTTTTACATTGAGGTTTTTTTTTGTTGTTTTTGTTTTTTAAATGTCTGACCTGCTGACGTAAGAAAGGTGACTAAATGTCAAACTGTCCCGTCTTGGTGGTTGGACGACATGTTTGAAGAGAGAAATGGGAGTGAGAGAAAGCCGATTGAACTGTATGACCGTCTGAAACACCTGCCATGAAAACACAGTGATGGAATGAAGATGCTCACATTGATTAAAGATAACATGCTGCTGTTTTGCAGCACGCTAACTTGTGCAGTACAGTACAGCTGAGCCTTTTTGCAGGTTTTTTTGGTTGTAAAGCAAAGTGTTAGACAAATTTTACATTTTGACATGATGAGCTGGATAAAAACTTAAGGGATCCGTCATTCCAATTTATGGATGATTAATGCACCGAATTGGAACGACAATCCGTCAACAGCTGTGCATTTCACAGATAACCGCAAATTTCAACATGTGGCACTAGTGTGACAAGTGAGGTCCATCAAATTCATCAGGACTCATTGGCCTCGAACCACATCTGTCTGTGCAGCGTTTTGAGTTAATTCATCCAGTAGTTGTTGAGATATTTCACTGGATAAGTGAAGTTTTTTACCCACTGGTGGCACTAAAGGGAAAAGTGATGGGGATTGTCAATCTCAGCAGGGTTCATCCTCTGGCACCCATGAATGTCTGGACTTCATGGCAAATCATATAATATTTCTTGAGATATTTCAGCCTGGACCAAAGTGGAGGACTGACCGACGGGCCGATGGACGAACCGACACTGCCGTTCACAAACTGATGCACATCCCAAAGCTACAACTCTTTCAAAAGTAAATTTATTAAAAAGTAAACTTAAGTGACTTGGCACCCAGCAGTTGTTGAATGCTGAAATAATCTAAACCTTTTTAAAATTAAATGATTCCACGTTAGTCATCCTCAGCAGCTTGCTTCATCTTCTCCTGACCCTGCTTTTCTTGCAGTTTTCTGCAGACTAACCCCCTCCACTCTTTGCTCCCCTATTAAACATGTCTCCTCTCCGTGCTAAACATCTGATCATGACTTAATGCAGTGCGAGATGAGACTGATGTGGGCGGTGGATCATGCATGCAGATGAGCATGTGCACTCTGCCTCATCTGGGCCTTCGTGCCAGTTTGGGGAAAGGAGGGTACACGTGGGAAGTGCCCTATCCGTTCAGTGAGTGTGTAAAATCACGTCCCCCGTTGAGCTGTACTTTAGGCGACATTTACCACAGAGCCAGTGTGTGCGTCCCACCCTCTATGTTTTGGCTAGGGAATGGGTATTGTGCTGCGTCAAGCTGCGTGATTGCATACACACACACACACACGCGCACTCCTGTGCCTTCCTCCAACTTAGCGTGTGATGAAATGGATACCACCCAAAAGTCAGGTTAGGAGGTCTGAAGAGACGTGTTGTGTGGCACCAACACGCACACACACACGCACACCAAATCATAATCTTTGAAACAGAGTGGGAACAAAGTAAGTCAGCAATTATTTCATTTTCCTCCGTTTCCGCCCTTTTTCTTGACTTATCTTTCATCTCCCCCTCTCTCCCCCTTTTGTGGATGTTTCATTGAGAAGGAAAAGGCTCATTGAAGCAGGTCTCACCCTGCTGTACGTGACTCTGAGGACACTGCCGGTGGCTTCAGCCAAACCAAGCATTTAACTTTCACCTCACTTATCGGGCACATGGAGGAATTAAAATAGAGCATCCTTTCTTTTTGTATCCATTAGGAAGCTGGAATGTATAAAGATGTGTTTTCATGCTGGCTGCAGGGATGTGATAGGCCTGCTGCAGAGGGTGTTCTCATTGATATGTATTTGGAGAGAACAGTCATAGCCAACGGTCCTTTTCTCTCTTCTATTGGCTAAAACCCAGTGCAGTAAGACTGTGAAATATTATCCTTTTATATGTTTTAATTATAAACACGAACAGGAACATTTGACTGTCTGTTTTTAAAGGGGTTAAAGTGTAAGTATGAGAGCAATATATAGAGACAGATAAGAGGAAGAGAGAAAAACAGACGCACGAACAAGGTCCAATCCTGACTTGACATGGAATCATTGTTTCCTTGTGCCCCAGATTCTGCAGATTGATAGCTTTGTTTACGTTCTTGGCTTGACAGTTATTGCTTGACTTGCAATGACATCTGAAATCAGTTCATATCACAGGCTGTGACCTTGTTCATTGAGTCATTAAAAAAAAAGTATTCTATGAAACACTAAGGACAAAACCAGCAATCAATGGTTTCCAGTCTTATCTCCCGTCTGTGGCATTTGTCTTCTTTTTTTTTTTTTTTCTTCTCCTCTTATCCTCCTCTCTTTCTCTTTGAATGTCATGTGTCACACACGGTAAGCTTGTGCTTTCTCACCACTTGCCTTTTCCCTCTCTGACTTCACTTTTTTTTTTACCCTGTCTCTCAAGGCCTTCTGTCACGTTTGGGTTCAGGGAATTTTCCACAGCGTGCAGCCTGGGTTTTGCGGTAGATAAGCCCTGAGATGAAGCTGAGCCCTGAGAAAATGCTGCAGTTCAAGCAGGTTAAGCAAACTCAGCCAAGAAAACCCCATCTCTACTGAGTGTGTTTGGAGGGTGAGAGAGAGAGTTACTTGGCTACAGAGGGCCAAATGTTTGTGGTCTCTACTAGGTGCAGTGTCTGAAATGACAGCAAAAAGCTGGAGCCACACACAGTACCTAAAAAAAACAACAAAAAAACATAACAAGAACATGGGTGAGAAGATGAGTAGTAATTATTCAGGTACAACATCCAACACTTCTTAAATTACCATTTTTTATAAGAAAGGAATGTGCTTTGCCTTTCATTTGATTAGAGAAGTTGCATTGATTGCAGTCTGAGGGAAACACTATGTGATTCAGTCACATAGTGTTTCCTGCAGAAACCTTAAGGAAAAGTCAACACAATATTTTGTTTCTCTTGTTATACAGCAACAGGGACATGTTTTATTTAATCAATGGCTTTGCTTTGGGCAAACATTTAAATATAATTAAAAAAAAATAAAGTAGACATATGTGGGATCAACTAAATACATCTGGCGATGCAACTTTTTAATGATATGTGATTAAATCATGAATTAATGTGCAACATTAGATCCCAAATTTGGGGCTATAAGGACCTTATGCAATACAGTTCAAAGTATTGATATAGTATATGTAGTATAGTATAATATATGATTGACACACCTTTAAAAGAAGTTGCAGTTGTACATGCACCCCTGTGGATGGATATTTCCTGCATTAGCTTCTTATTCATCCACTTGGCAGGACCAACCGTTAAAAACAAAACACAGACATACTATCACCTTATAAAGGTGAATGTGTCAGTTGCTAATACAGAGCCACATTAGCATTCATTTGGCATTGTGATTCTAGCCACCTGGTGAGTAAGTCAAGTATTCACTCTTTTAACTCTGTCTTGGTTTCCACCTGCACCTCAGAGAAATACCTGGCTCTTTAGCTGCTCAATGTTATACTGTGAGCAAGAGCTAGTAGCTAACTGCGCAGGTAGTGTATAGTGTTTGTTGTTGAGGTTTGTTACAGCTTGTCAACTGAAGCTGCTGTGACTGGGAACGATGCTGATAAGAGTGGTTAGACTGAACGCAAATGGTGATGTTTCAAGGTTTTAAACCAAAACAATGAGGTGAAAGATGCTATTATTGGCATTACTGTACCACCTTATGCATCACACATAATCATTTTTCAAAACTAGAATTATTTAAAAATGAAAATATTTTATTGCATGGTAAGACAGAGATACCGACTTGCTTCAGCTACAAGCAGGGTCTAAAATTCACTTTGCAACTCACCGGCCAAGGTGGCTGGAAGATGAAAAAAATTCACTGGCCAAGCATATTTTTACGAGCCAAAGTGTGTGTGTGTGTGTGTGTGTGTGTGTGTGTGTGTGTGTGTGTGTGTGTGTGTGGGGGCTGTCAAACTCTGACAAAGTAGGACAGGAGCAGAGCACTCATAAATCAAAATGCAGTAGAGACTCTCAGGATAGTGTTTTATTACACGAATATGTTGGTGCAAACTTTTACCTGGCAGTGTGGTGGATAGCCTTCCGATATTTACTCGCCAAACTGAGAATCTAACCGCTTTTGGCGTTCGCTGTGAGTGATTTTCGGACCCTGGCTACAAGCCATCACCAACTGCAACTCAATATGACTTGAAATAAGTGCTGTTTTTTGTGTGTTGTCTTCAATTCCAGTAATAAGCTTATCTAGTGAAGTTGCACACTTATTTTATTCATTTCACTTTGCTTTGGAGTCGTGAGCTAATTTTGTTAGTGATAAGTTTTTGTCATCCTAATTTAACATTTTGACTTACAGGCTAAATTGGTACTGGACAACATTGCCTAGCTGTAGTTGCCAGAACATGGTGTCCTAGATCTATTCTTCCTGACGAACTGAGTGAATGATGCGTTTATCCTGATTATATATCAATTACAGCATTACGCTTCACGCCATCTGGACTGTGTATTTGTATACCAATACTGTAATAGAAACCAAACTCCCTTTTTACCTTGGGGCAGACCTTCACAGTGTAGTCACCCATATTGTGAAACTACATCACAGGACACAGTGGGCTTTTTCCAACTGACCTAATGAAATTAGACCACTTTGTTATTTTTAGCTTAGGTACTACCAGGACTATTTTTCAG